GCCACATCATTCTTAGCCCAGCTCCCCAAACTCTATCCTGCCTTTCTTTGCCTCCCAGGAGCTGGAATTTCAGGTGTGGACCTGGTCTTGAGGTTACTTCTGAAAACACAAGGGCATTAGGAATTAAAGCCTGTGAGGTCCTAAGAACAACTAGCATAGCTCATATGCATATTCTAAAGGGTCTAAGTAAACAGATGTGTGGAACATACCAAAGGTTCTGTTCAGTGTGCCTTGCTTCCCCATTCAGCATGGGGTGCTGGGCACTGTGACTCTGATTTTCTTATAAAAAGGCAGTGGGGCGGAAGGCCGAAGGGCAGAGACTAGAGCCCTAGACTTATTAGGGTGAGGTAATGCAAACCCTTGGGGCCTTTGTTTCCACTGTTACAAACGGGAGAAAAATTTAGCTTTTCTCATTTCTCAGACTATGGTAAAGATAGAAAGAGCACATTTGGATCCATGCTTGGCCCTCACTAGTATTATGAGTAGCTGACAAGAGCCAATGCTGAGCTCTTTTCAAACTGCTTTAAAGGCTAATCAGATTTGTTGGTATGTTTTTTAAATACAGGAGACATATTAAGGAAAAAAAAAATGCTGCACTCAAAACGCCTATGTGACAATGTGAGCTGGCTAAGGGACACGGACAATATAACAGGGGAGATCGCCCCCTGGTGGGAAAACACAGTAAAGACCAGCTCACACTACAATAGCCATTTTCTTACAGTGATAAGCCATGAGGCCACACTGGACACAATCTGGTATCTTTCCCTGACATATGTGAATTTGTAACTGCTCTGCTCCAGAGTCCACTGGAACCATGTTACGCTTTGTGCTAACAGACCTCTGCTTCAAATGCAGTTAGGATTTCCCACTTTATTTATACTACATGGAGGTATTTTTACAATTGTGTTCACCATATAGTAAATGGTATTTAGCTACAATATGCATAACATATTTGAATTGGGCCTAGTAAAATGGTTCAGCGGGAAAAGGCACTCAGTGCTAAGGCTGATGACCTGAGTTCTTCATGTGTGTCAGGGCACACAGATACACCCAAGAAAACCCAAATGTATTTGCGTCACATGCATTTACTTTACAAATGTAAAAGGAGAGTCAGCATTCCATGTACAGATCCAGAGAACTGTCATTCTCTTGTCAGTTTAGCAATCTGACCTTAACAACTATCTGCAGGTCACGGAGAATAAACGGGCCCTTGGTTAACAACTACTTAATTCAGAGGTAGGACACTGCTTTAATTTCATTCCCTCTGAGGGAATGCTAGGTTTCCTAGAGGATGTATCCTTTGCTTGGTGATGGTTAATTCTTACGACGAACACCGCTGTGTAAAACTGCACAAAACATGCCCACCTGACACAAACTGCCATAGGCTCAACATTCATGGGAGACATACTTCCCCATCAGCTGCAGTTCTTTGCAGCGACTCCTGCCAAGCGCAGAGTCTATCCCTGACTGTGCATCTGGATTGGCCATTGACTTGCTCTCGACAGCAGAATGCAGCTGGAGGGTAGTTCTGGCCCTGAGCTCTAAAGCTCTGCACTTCCTTTTGATACTGCTGTTGAAGCTGAGGCCGAGGTCCCAGGAGAGGCTGCTGGGTGACGTGTGCCAAGTCCTAGTCATCCTACCTTCTGGAAACATCCTGTTAACTGCCAGATACCTGAACCCCCTGCACCACTCAGCTCCGGCTAGTCTGCTACCTGACAGCTTGGCACCACCAAGTCCAGCATCAGCTGGTTGAACTGGTGTGGAACAGAACTCCCAGGACAATTAGTTATGCAGCAAAAGCTAACTGATACACACATTCCTTTAGAATCACAACATTGGACCAGCAGCAGGACCAGGCTGCCACCAGAAAGTCAGCAGAGGAATGTCCCTCTTCCTCATTCCCTGCCACATAAAGGGTCTTTAAATCTTGGTGTGCAGAGTTTAGCAAGTCACCACACTTTTCTTGGTGCTGTTCTGGCTTTCCTTCCTTGTCTAGGTTGCTGCACTGCAGAGCCTACTTGGGGTGCCCCGCCCCTTTCTCCTATCAGGCTGTCTCCATCAGTACTGCAAACCCACCTTCTGAAAGACAAAGCTGAGCGTGGCAGCTTTGCTCTGCAGACCTTTCATCCCTAGATCCCCAGAGAAGGAAGCCTAAGCGGGGCACAAACACCTCAACAACTGCCGAACTTTCTGCCTCCTTATACCTGCAGATCTCCAGGGATACCGGGAATGTTAAGCACACATGATTGTCTTTCCAATGGGAAGGATGGAAAACCTGATCTTTTATCCAGAAAGCTGAGCATTAGAAGTGATTAATTGACTGGTGATCTGTCTTATTTGTTGGGTCAGGCCATAGCAGGCTCCTTCAACCAGGACCAGAGGTGGCTGGTAATCTAAATGACTCTTACAGCTAAGAGCTCCCCAAGCTTCCACTACCAGAACCACAGATACCTAATAGTCTACATTACTCTTCCATCATCTGTATAGCTAGAGGCTCCCCCAAGCAATTACTATAAATGTAATTGCTGCCCAAAGCTTCCCCATCTTCCAACATGTTTCAAAAACCCCGGGCCTGTTACTCTCTTCTCTGGTGCAGCAACCCTGTCTAGCACCGTTTAACTTCCGGCTGTTTCTTAAGCATTACATCTTCTCCGAGGCGGCATGCCAGGTCTCCAACCACTTTCCTCTTGGCTACTCGTTCCCCCTGCTTGGTACTGTAATTAGTGACTTGCTGCTTCTCTTGATCCTTGACCCCAAACAGGAACTTTATCTTAATGCTCAAATAATCATAGGGCACACAGTAGACTTTGGAGAAGTGATTGTTGGGTGGATGTATGGATATAGGAATTTTGAGTTTTGTAGACTGAACCATGACATCTGACTTACTAGGTACTAGACTTGGGGCAAGTGTGTCTCTCTGATCCTACCCCTTTCCTGCCAGATGGAGACAACACTACCTGTACATTATAGACAATGCAAGCCTTAACTTCAGTTTATGGATTAAAACTGGTAATAAATGGCAGCTATAATTCCTTTTTCTTATTATATTGTTCTGAACTTGAACTAAGACATGACTTGAACTGAGCTATCAACTGAGGCAGTACCACTTCTTCCTCTTGAATGACAGTGTAGGTGAGCTGAGTATTTTCTTTCCTTGCAAAACAGCAGTGGCAGGCAATGCTCCTGGAAGTCATACTGTGTTAACTGCTCTTCTAGAGCATGTGGCACACTGTGCAGAGGAAAGTCCCCAGACTCTGTTTTCCTTGTCCTTTGTTAGGCCTCTGTAACATCAGTAAAAGTTAAAAAAACAAACAAAAAACTATCTACCTAAGCAAAAGTGGGGGGTTACTTATTACATAAGGCTCAACAATCGCCTTTCAAGGGCATTTCTCAGAGATCAGCAGAGAAAAAGGTATACCAAGAGCTTGTATGTCTAAGGTCAGAAAAGAAAAGCTAGGTAGCCTCTAAGCACTTCCTGGAAGCTGGCCTAGATGTGCGCCACTGTTCCAGAAAAACCAACAGAGGGCCAGAGAGATGGCTCAGTGGTTAAAAAGCTCATACTGCTTTTGCAGAGGACACAGTTTGTTTTTCAGCGCTCACTTTGGGTGGCTCACAACTGCCTTTAACTCCAGCTCCAAGGGATGCAACACCCTCTTCTGGCCTCTGAGGGCAGCTGCACTTACATGTTCCCTGACCCTACCACAGACCCCACACATAACCAAATAGAAATAAATCTTAAGGGTGTGTGTGCGGGGTGGCTCAGTGGTAAGATCACCCACTGCTTTTCTCGAGGATTCAAATTTGGTTCCCAGCGCCTATGTCTGGTGACTCCTGACCACCTATAACCCAGGCTCCCGGGGATTTGATGCCCTCTTCTGTTCTCCTCCCACCTGCACATGGGTGGCAGGCACTCTCACACACCTGTACATACACACAAGCAAACACAGAACAAAAACCCAAGGACTGACAAGCCAGCAGGGAGGTGAGGCACATATGCCCTTGCTCCTCTGTGCCCCATGCACTGAACTCACACTTGGCTCACCACTGGCTTTGGGGCAGTATCACAATGTGGCTCCACCAATCTGGCCTCCAGCCTGGGCATGACCTCTTAGCTAAGCTGGTTACGCCAGGCAGTTCCGTGAAAAGATGAGCCAGCTGCCTTCCGGAGGCTTCTGGATTTAGGGGGTGCCACAGCTTGGGATTCCGGGCCCTAGCAGTTCACCCTCCATCGACCCCCACTACGCTTCAGCACTGGGTACTGACCCATTGTCCCAAGCCTGAATCACGACCTACCAGGGGAATCGCGACATCCTCGTACGGCAGCTTGTCTTCCCGCCAAGCGTCATCAATCAAATCTAAGATCCTTCCGTCTCGCTGTACCTCACTGTCCATTTCCTGCAGCTTTGATCTTGTCTGGTCTGTAAGGCAAAGGGGTCATTTTCAACAACGAGAGAACAGTATAACCCAGTACCTGGATTCCCCATACTTTTAGCTTGAAACTGGTTTTGTTGTTGTTTTGGTTCTCAACACCACCCTAGGAAAGGCCCATCTTACATGGGTCAGGTAACAACATAAAGACCACAGTTCTTTTCTCTCCTCAGCTGACAGATGATTGTGTATGTGTGGAAGTCAAAGGAAAACTTGGGGTAACTGGTCCTCTACATCCACCAGGTGGGTCCCAGAGACAGAACTCAGGTTAACAGGCTTGGTGCCAGTGCCTTTGTCACTGAGCATCTTGCTGAATTTCTTCAGAGCCTGGTCCAAGTGCTCAGGATACTTGCGTAGCTCCCTCCATCATTCCTCATGTTTCTCAACCAGTTTACAGTTACAACCTAATTCAAAAGACTGGTCCCTATGGAGTACTCCTGGTTTCCAGCTTCCAAGTTTGTTTCTTATCACAAACACAGCCTATTGTGTTCCCTGCCACGAAGTGGCAACCCAAAGCAAGGTCTTGAAGCTACTAGCACCAGTGGCTGCCTCTCTCTCTCGTCTTCTTATTTTAATGTGTTCTGGGCATAAAACAGCTTTGGCCACCAAGCCAGGCATCAAGCTAGGATGACCAAAAGACTGCCATCTGCTCTGCCCCTGACTGATAGAAGAATATTACTACCAGCAAGGTGTCTCTGCCCATTGCCAGGAGGCACCAGCGGCTCTCTCAGGGACTCTTCCATTTCTGAGGGAAGGTAGGCTCATGCAAGAAACAACCGCTGGCAGTGGGGCCTAACTTCATCATACAGGTCTGTGCTCATCTCCAACAATATAAAGGCAGGCTAGCACTGTCTATCTAGTCTAGAGGCGGGGAAGGGCTTTCACTTTCAAAAATTAATCAAGAGGGGCCTGGGAGGTGGCTCAGTGGTTGAAATGTTTGCTCTGCAAGCAAAAAGACCCGAATTTAGACTGCTAGCACCCACGTAAAAAGCCTGGCACAATGGCACACACTTGCCATCTCTGGGACATTGCCAGGCCAGGTAGTCTAGTTGAATCAGAAAGCTCCAGTGAAAGATTCAAAGTGGAAGGCACTGATGTTGGCCACCCCCAACTCCACCCGCAAGCACAAATCTCCACCAGCACCACGGCCTACACTTACGGGTTTTCCTTAGATTTAACTGGACCCTAGCCAGTGGATAATGCAAAGCTAGCTGAAGGATCCCATTTGCAGAAATGTATGACGAGTCCTTCCTGCCAGTTCTAGTCACACATAAGGAGTTCAGCAAGGGTTTTCCTCCTTTCCTGTCATGCTTTGTCTTCGTAGCTGTGCCTTGGGCTACATCTCACACTTTCCTTGGCTGATTTTCCCAGGCCTAACAGACTGCACCTTTTTCTAATACGCTCTGACTTCCCTCCAGAATTTTCGGGCTTCCTGTCCTTGAATGCTTGCCTTCACGGATCTATGGAACAAGGTAGGTAAGCTTTTCGACTGACTGGAAGGGTACTACTATCTTTAGTGGTAATGCAGTGATTCCCAATTTTTCCACAAGTTGGCCTCAATATTTTGTAACGTGCCCCTCTTCTACATGGTAACAACCTGACGTGCTTTTCACACATCCTCTGTACTTCTTCATCACTAATGCTTGGCTGTCCTTCCAAACACAAATGGGAGGTCTTGGGGGGGGGGGGGCTATATCTATTTTCCTGAGTCAGAAGCTCAGATGCTCTCCCTCTTACGTGAACAAAAAGCAAGCACAGGCAAGGCCCAGGCCACGGACACTGAGCCAAACCTTTCCTTCACAGCATACCCTCTCCGGGTTCCTTTTTTATTTTTTAGACACTCACTGTTCTCCTTCTATGCTCCTGGCCTCCATACCAGTTAATACAAAACTCTCAGTTCTCACGATATCTCCTTTAGACCCCAGACTGAGTACAGTTCCAAGAGCTCATTCGTCCCCTAGATCTCTGGGCACAAAAATGTGACAAAAGGACGGGAGCTTGTCACCCTGTTCAGACATCTCTTTCCAGATATTAGACGCCTACGTCCCACGAGACATACGCACGTTTTACGCGTTTTCAAAACCACACCGTTGTTGTAAGTGTATTCCTAAGCTAAACGCACAAAGCCTAAACTAAAAGTAGCCCTCGAAGGCCACCATCCCGAGTCACCACACGCAGAGCCTCCCGCTAACTCCGCTTCCGGCTCGAGGGCCGCAGCTACCAGACGCGGAAGTGCAAGGGGGAGGTGGAGCGTCGCCGAGCGGGATCCCGGCCCCTCGTAGCGGCGTGCAGTAAGGAAGTGGCTCTGAAGGTCGGTTGAGAGCCCCGGCCTGCACCTCGGGATTCACCGGAGGCCCGAAGCCGCGGGCGAGCGCTCGGCCACCCTCCGAAACCCGGGACGCGGGCGCGAGGAGACCCTTACCCACACCGCGTGCAACGGCTTCTTCCCGGCCCCGCCCTTCCCGCGGGTCACGTGACTCGGGGCGCCCTCCTGCCCCCTCCCGTACGTGGGTGAGTCCATCCTCGGTAGTCGTGGGTGGGGAGAGGCCCGGACGAGCGTCCATTTGTTGTGACGCGCGCGCGCGCGCCCCCCCCCCCCCGCCCCGGCCCGAGGACCGGCGGGCAGGCCCGGGGGCGCGGCCTGGCGGGGGCGCGCTCCGTAACTGACTGCGCGCCCGGCAGTCGGGCGAGCCGCCGCTCGTTGTTGTGCGGTCGCGGCCCTGGCCACCGAGGTGCCGCTCGCCTCCAGGCCGCATGGCCCGCGGCTGCTGCCCGCCGCTCTCCGCCCGTCACCGGGCCCTGCCTCCCGCGGCTTCCGGAGCGCCGTGCATCTGGGTCTTGCCGCCTCCTCCTCGAGCGGCTCGGGGCCGGCCGGCCAGGTGCTGCAGCCTCGGCGGTGGCGTGCGGGAGGGCAGGCTGCGGGCTGCCGCGGCTCCCGGGGAAGGGCTTTAGCGTTAGCAGCGCAGCGGGGAGCCCTCAGGGTTCCCTGCTGATGTTAGTCGGAGGGGTGCAGAGACGTGGAGGGAACCCCTGATGCCGGGGACTTGCAGATGGCTTCATGCTTTCAAGTCTAGCGTAGCAAACGAGGTTGATAGGGTGACAGTTTTGAAGCATTTCCACAACGCTTTAATCGCGGAGACACTTGACAGCGAGTCTGGGCTGCAGATTAGGGTTTCTGCCCTTTACAAAATCGTGGAGTTGGTGCATTCTGATGTCACATGCGAGTTTTCATTTATGGACTGTACACTTATTGCCCCAAGTGCCCACCCCTAAACCCCGGCTAGCGCCCAGTCTCCCAAAACTTACTGTGTAACCTGGATGGCAGGGAAACTAACAAGGTAGACCCACCCGGCTGGCCTCCTACTCAGAGACAGGCCTGCCTCTGCCTCCTGGGTTAAGGAACTGCACCTCTTCGCCTGTCATTCTGAGCTCTCTTGAGGCCAGTTTAGATTTTTAAAGTTTAGTAAAGCAGGATAGGTGTTCATTGTACAATCCCTCGAATACCTTAGTATTCGATAATACATTTAGTATTATAATACATTTAGATAATACATTTAGTTTTAATCTTGCATTTAGTTTGTAGTTTGTATGTAAGTCAAGGATCAGTGACTAAATTATCTTCAGCTTTTTATACTTACTCTTAAAGGTTGTCGCTTAATGATATGAGAAGAGGAATCTTCTTAATTGGAATGCAGCGCCATCTTTAGGCATTTTTTTTTTCTCGTGCTCCTTGTCCTGTGAAACTAAAATGGGTTTGAGATTTATAAACTCAGACACAGCCGTTTAAAATGTGTGCACACTAAAGTTTAAAAACGATAAAAAACGATACAGCATTTATGCTGATGCTGCTTCCTCTCTTGCGGAGGTAGAGGGCCCTTACTCAGGCCTTCCTGCTCGCATGTACTGTTGTATTGGCTGACAGTGACATATTAGTCTACACTGTCATAGCTAGCATAGCTAAGGTGCTCCCCATGCCAAAGGCTGTATTTGCTTTTCTCAGTTTTACAAAACCACAGTACTATTTTTCAGCTTTTTTAAAAAATTTGTTTATTTGTTTATACAGTATCCTGCCTGCATGTGTGCAAGCAGGCCAGGAGAGGGCACCAGATCTCATTATAGATGCTTATGAGCCACCGTGTGGTGGCTGGGAATTGAACTCAGGACCTTTGGAAGCGCAGACAGTGCTCTTAACCTCTCAGCCATCTCTCCAGCCCCTCACAGTACTATTTTTATAGTACAGATTTATTAGAAATATACAATGTCAGTATCCAGTGGGATCAGATTTCTTCAGCTACCCTATGTGTGCTTGTAATACCTTGTTTGGGCCAAAATCCTGCAGTGAACTGTCATTTGCATTTGGTTGCTAGGCCTTTAAATTCTCTAATCAGTAGCAGTTTCTTACCATTTCAAACTTAGCTCATTGTATGTATTTTTGTATATTGCCTCCACTTCCTCTATGACCTCTCTTCCACTAGCTCAATCTTAAATTACACTGTTCAGTGTGGTAGTCATCAGCAGCTGTGCTATTTTAAATGAGATAGAAGTTTGGTTCCCCAGTTGCATTAGCCACATTTGAAACACCCAGCAGTCACAGATTGCTTAGAAGCTAGTGTTTGAGTAATGCAGACAAAATGTTTCCATAACATATTATGGAAACAGAAAGTTTTGGTGAAATACAGTGATGTATTGAAATACAGTATTAGATTCAGCCTTGATTTTTGATGGGAGGTGTAAGAAAAATGTCACAGGTATTATGTTATGAAAATTCTCCGTTGTATTCATTATCAGGGCGATGTCTGAGTCATCCCATTTGAGATGTTACAGTTGAGCTGTGTAGCGCTTCCTATGCTGTCAGCTCAGTTGACCCACCAGTGCCCAAGAGCCTTTTGGTTAATAGGGAGAGCTGTCATGGCTAATAGAGCCTGGGTCTATCACTGCATGACAGCTACAGAGTGGTGGCATCTCATCGTGTCACGTGTTTAGTGCTGCGTTTCTGGCGCTCTTAGAACATGCCTTTTCCAGCTATCTGACTATCCTGAAATAGGGTTCATATAGGAATGGCAAGAGAAATGCTTAATTCTGTTCCTTCCTTTTCAGACTACATCAATGAATTGGTGGCCTAGCAACCTCCAGAGGTAACCTGAGGGCTTTACCTTTAAAACAAACAGGTAGACTTGAATGTGTTTAATAAATTTATGGCCTAGCAACCTCCAGAGGTAACCTGAGGGCTTTACCTTTAAAACAAACAGGTAGACTTGAATGTGTTTAATAAATTTATGGTCTAGCAACCTCCAGAGGTAACCTGAGGGCTTTATCTTAAAAACAAACAAACAAATACACCAATAGGCTTTAGTGTGTTTAAATTCTTTGAATGTATTACAGATTTTTTTTGGTACCCCAAATTGTTATGTTTTTAACCAGTGGGAACCCTTCAAGACCCATAGTTATGATAATTTCCTCCTCGTTTTGCTGTAACTGGGTTTTATGTAGTCCAGGCTGGCCTGGAACTTGCAATATAACCAAGAATGGTCTTAAACTTAAGATCTTCCTGCCTCAACCTCCCAAATGCTAGGATTTTAGGTATGAGCCACCATATCCAGCTCAGTACTGCTTCTTTTCCTTTTTATTAAATATAAGACACTCATAATCCTTATAAAACAACGTAAATCGAGGCGTACCTGTAGAAGGTTATCGTTATCCCTGTCTCCTCCACCCTGATTATTTCCCCTCCTTAGAGTTAGTATTTCTCAGTTTGTTCTTTAGTAAATGAGTACCCAAAGGCAAACATACTTTCTTTTCACTCTTTTATACCCTGCTGTTTTACTCCATAGAAGCATGTGGTGAGTGTTCCTTCTTCAGCTGCAATAGTGTTCCCTTCGTGAACGAGTGTGTAGTGAGTTTCCTACTTTATGAATAAGCATTATGCATCTCATTTTGTATTTTTCCAGTGAGCAAGACTGAGCATTTTCTTTCTGTTCACTGACTGTTCCTATCTCCTACCCATTTTTCTATAGCTATCTTTTTTTTTTTTTAATATCTTTGGTAATTAACCTTTTCGTTGTAAACTATTTCTCACTTAAAAGTATCTCCATGAGGAGATAAGCTCATATGTCTTAGCCGTTGTAATTTTTCTTTCTGATTTTAGTCACAGTTTGGACAGACTTTGTAAAGTTTTATCTTTATTTTTAAAAATTTCGCTAGCTTACTGGCCTCTACCTTTAAAGGGGAGCTTTTTGGGACACAGGGAAGTGATGATGGTTCTTGGAAGAGCCCCAGCTTATCAGTGCAGTGTGTCGTCACAGTCACTAAGGGGCTGCACCCTGTTAGGCACGCCCCTTCTCTTAGCCTCACATGGCTATACATTTACTCATAGTTGTTGTTTTTTTCCTTTCTTTGGTGTTCCATTTTGTAGTGTGTGGTTAGGTGTAAATTCTGGGTATTTTTCCTTACCTTGTAAAGGGAAAAGGTTAAATTACAGGCCTAAGGTGCCTTCTGTCCCTTATGTCCCAATATGCTAATGAATTTCAAAGATTTGCCATGATCAGATCTCTTATTTTTGTTTTTTCATCGTTGTATACCTAAAAGTGACTGTTTTCTGCTCCCAGGACCTGATGATAAAAACCTGTGTCCCCGTAAATCATCTAGCTCCAGATTTGAGTGATTGAAAACCACCTTCAGCCCAAAGGCTATTGTTGTTACTGAATTCTGCCTGTTGGCTGGCTTCGCGGCCCCTTGTTAGCATTTGATGTTAGTGTTAAGGAGTGGTAGATTATTAGTTTTTACTTAAATCTGTATTGAATATTAGGAACACAGAATACTCGGCTACACAGTCTGTGTCCCATGGCACCACCAAAGAGGAAACAATTGACTTCTGGAGTAAATGAAGAAGCCATCTTGGTTAGGGCCAGAATCTTTGTGTGGCTGTGAGAAACTGAAGACACCAAATATCTCCAGGAAATCAGAGTCCTCGCAGTTTATCTGATTAGCGAATGGAAACCGGTGTACTTGGTGGGGACTCTAGTAGAAGGTGGTGTTAAAGACGCACACCTCTCTTTAGCAGACTTTTTTTTTGGCGGGGGGGGGGGACATGTTGTTGGTCTTCTGTGCCTGTTTTACACTAGAATTCCTTTGTCTCACTCAGTTCTAGGATTTCAGTTTTGGTCCAGTGGTTTTTCTTACACCTGAATGGTTTTATCACAGTACTGCTGCCACCTAGTAGCCACAAGGAGATATGCTTCATTTCCCCACACACACACACTGAAAAGATCCTGTTAATCAAAGAGGAAAGCAGAACTATATAGAAGATGGCACATTGCTTGGGACTGGAGGATCACTACCTGGATCTGAACTTAAGGAATATAACCTATAGCTTTCCAAGTAATTCCCCCTGTCTGCCCAAAGTTATAGAACCTTCTTTTATGAGGGTACAGAAGATAGAAAATATAAGAGGCAGGTAGATAAGGTGAACATTCACTAAAGTTTAGTATCTATTACGCACATTGCTAGTTATTAAATAATGGCGTACATAAATGCCCACAAGTTATATATTAAGTAGATCAGTGTGTAAGAATAACATGACTTTAAAGAGATGCAATGTTAGTAGGAATAATTTGGAGAAATGATTATAGAGAAAGATGAAATAAAGACCTTGGCAGTTAGTGTTTATACCCTTCATTTTACAGATGGAAAACCCACCAGGACACATAGCTGGTTGGTTGCTGGGCGGAATTGTTTTCTGGGCCTCTGTCTAGTGCACTCTGCTGCCTCCCAGTTCTGGAGCAGAGCAAAGGCTGGGTCCGGGGCACTGTGATTTGATTCTTACTGTTGTTTGGAAGAAAGTGGTGTAAAATGTGGGATCCTCTCCTTTAGGGTTTGACTTTGGTCACGGTGAAATGTATCAGGAACACTAGCTGGAGGAAAGCTCCCTCAGCCACGCATGCATGAGGAGCCCACAGTTGTTGCTAGGGTGTGTAGAAACAGGCGCGGACACAGCACACTCATTGTGCTTTCCCAGTCAGGGGATGCGGAACATTTTTGTTTCTTTTTTAGTCCCACATTGGGCTATTCCTTGGTAAGGAGCATGTCTTTTACAACTGTCTAGAGAGCTGTTGGTATAGCACTGCATTATTTGTTAAATAAAGGAATCTACTTCTCAGAAATACAACTTTTGGAAAAGCTTTAGTACATAGGGACTGAATCTCTACAACCTAATCTTTGGCTTTATTTATAATTCAGGGTTGAAACTTGGAAAGCTTAAGTTTCTTTTTTTTTTAATTAATTTATTTTTTTTAAATTAATCACAGGTTATTTACTTTGTATCCCAGCCGTAGCCCGCTCCCTCATTCCCTCTCAACCCCACCTTCCCTCCCTCATCTTCTCCCTGCCCCTTTCCAAGTCCACTAATAGGGGAGGACGTCCTCCCCTTCCATCTTTTCCTTTTTTTTTAAAATTTATTTTATGTGTATGAGAGTTTTGCTTGCCTGCTTCTCTGTGTACCATGTGATCCCCTGGAACTATATTTATGGATAGTTATGAGCCACCATGTGGATGTTGGGAATCAAACCTGGGTGCTCTCTAAGAACAAGTGTTCTTAACCATTAAGCTTTCTCTCCAGCCCAATAGGGAACTTTCTTCAGTATGAAGGATGGTCTGCCAAGAAACGTTTTGAGGATTTATGAAGAAAAAGTCACAACACTTCTGAGTTTAAGGGTCTTCATGGTGTTAATCTTTTGTTTTTTTTTTTTTTTTTCAGGCAGTCTGTTCTGTATTCTCTCTCTTTGAGGTCCTTCTTGGAAGTCCTGTAGCTGTGACCAGTTGCAGGGGAGATGGTTTCCCAAGGCATGCAGCAGCAGTGCCATATTGAAATACTGGTCTCAGCTGTGGACCTCAGAGATGAGAAACATTGGCTTTCTGTCCCTGGGAAACCGGTGGTCTAGAAAGAAGGAGAAATGAGCAAACCCTTAATTTTCAAATGTTATGTAATTTGGTAAGAAGAGTTGGGGAAATATGTCAAAGAGAAGGAATTTTTAAGTGTTGTCGACCCTGTGCTTACCCCTCAGGGGACAGTGTATGATGCAGGAAACCTTCTCGGTCTTATAGAATGAGTGAGCTCTGTGACTGACCTGGAAGTTTATTTTTTTAATTAAATTTATTTTTATTTTGTGTACATTGGTGTTTTGACTGCATGTATGTCTGTGTGAGGGTGTCAGATCGTCACATAGTTAGAGACAGCTGTAAGTTGCTATGTGGGTGCTAGGAATTGAACCCAGGTCTTCTGGAAGAATAGCCAGTGCTCTCAAACACTGAGCCAGCTCTCTAGCCCCAAGATTAATTTTTTTCATTTTTATTTTTTTATATTAATTGCAGTTTATTTGTTTTTTATCCCCTCTCCAAGTCTACCGATAGGGGAGGTCCTCCTTCCCTTCCATCTGACCCTAGCTTATCAGGTCTTATCAAGACTAGCTGCTTCCTCTGTGGCCTGGCCAGGCTGTTCCCCCCTCACGGGGAGTTAATTTTTTTTTTTTTTTTAAGATTTATTTTGTTTTATGAATATGGACATTTTGCCTGGATGTAAGTATGTTCACCATGTTTATGCCTTATGCCTGCAGAGGTCAGAAGAGGGTGTTGGAGCCCTTGGAACTGGAGCTACAATTGTAAACAGCCATGTGAGCGCTGAGAACCGAACACAGGTCTTTCACAAGAGCAATAAATGCTCTTGACCATTGAGCCATCTCTCTATCCCTAGCCTGGGAGTTTAACCTCTTTATAATGGCTTTTGTTTTTAAAAAAACAAGAAGCCCATTCTTAAAACAACAACAACAAAAGTCCCGATGCCATGTTAGTGAAAAACTATGCTTTCCTTTCATCAGTGGTCCTAGTTTATTCCTCTCATTTTTTAAAGGGGTTGGTATAAATGTCCCTTGACAGAAAATACTTTCCACTCTCATATTTTTTGAGAACTAGTCATAAAGGGCCTGGAAGGATGGCTTAGCAGTTAAGAACATGCACTGTTGTGGAAGAGGATCAGAATTTGGTTCTGGTAGTTCCAATGTATCTGTCTTCCAAGGGCACCTGAACGCATGTGCACATACCCATGCTTAAACACAGTTAAAAAATAAGTCTTGATTACAACAAAAGAAAGAAAGCCAGTCCTGGTGGCAGACACCTTTAATCCTGTCACTCAGAAGGCAGAGGCAGGTGGACCTCTCTCTTGAGTTCAAGGCCAGCCTGGTCTACATCATGCATAGCTGGTTCTAGGTCAGCCAGGACTACAGTGTAAGACCCTGATTCAAAAATTAAGTTAATAAATAAAAAGACCTAGAGGAATGAGAGGTTTCACTGATTTTGTAGGATAATTTCAGCAGCAGTTAGGATTTTGTTTGCTTTTAGAATGTATTTGGTGCTGGCCTTTCTAAATGATAGTCCTTTCTTCTAGCACCATCTCAAGCTGCTCTGCTTTCACTCACATTACGTTGGAATGTTGGAATTCAGAACAGTGACTTTTCTCACTCTCTTTCTTTTCTTTTTTTTCCCCCCAGTTGCCAGGGTAGAGAGGATCTGGCAATGGAGGCCTTGTTGGAAGGAATACAAAATCGGGGGCATAGTGGGTAAGTTTGCTTTTGACTGAGTTTCTCATTGCAGCTGAAAAACTTACCTGGATTCTGTTAAGCTGAAGCTAAGCTGAGCCACGGCACATTTGTGGACGGCATCCCTCTGACATCATTTATCTCCTCTTAGCAGTACCTGGGTGGGCTCTTGGCTTCTGTCTGAGCTTGGGTTTTCTTTTGCAGCTCAGAAGGGTGTCAGTGGGTTGAGAGCTGTGAGGTAGGTTGCACTGTGTTCCCAGAAACAGTTGGAAGAAATAATTGCAATAGATCTTGCTCAAGGATGACTCTTTTTTGAAACAGCTCTTTTTCATTATCTTTTTTTCTGCACAATTCTGTTTGCTACCAAGGCTGTTCATTTTGGCTGAAAGAGATATGACATGGGCTTGCCTGGGTTCTCCCAAAAACATCCCCTAAATATTCCAGAAGACATGGTTAGTAGTTGTGAAAGTCTCACTTCGAGAGGTGGATGTAAAACACCCATCTGTGTTTCACCAGGTGACCTTGGCTTTAGGCTCCTCACTAGAGGAAGGCACAATATTCTGTGGCGTAAGCAGTCAGAGTATGGCCTCATAAAAAGCAAAGGCTCGGGTATCCCAGGCGTTGCTTCTGTTATGTTTTAGGTTCTTCAGATAGGTTTAGTCTGTGATATTTTTATCTGTGAAAGATGAGAAACCACTCAGGCATAAGTTGTGTTTGGTCTGTTGGTGTTTATAGGGGATTTTTGACATCTTGTGAAGCAGAGCTGCAAGAGCTCATGAAACAGATCGATATAATGGTGGCTCATAAGAAATCTGAGTGGGAGGGGCAGACGCACGCTTTGGAGACTTGTTTGGACATCCGAGATCGGGAGCTGAAGGCTCTGAGGAATCAGCTGGACATGAAGCATAAAGAGGTAGAGTGGCTGCCTCACTCTTCTTGTTATTTGAAATTATGTACGGTTCCATATGCCCACGTTCATACAGCCCCACGCTCCAATAACCTTGATTCACGCTTCTGTTTGGTAGTTTAATCTTTCATATTACACATGGTTCTTAAGTGTTTATTTAAAAAAAAAAAAAAAAAGCATTTGTTTACCGAGTTAGTTATTTGGTTTTTTTGCTTTGTTTTTTGTTTGTTTTTCAGAGACAAGGTTTCTCTGTTTAGCCCTAGTTGTCCTGGAATTAGCTCTGTAAACCAGGCTGCCTCTGCTTCCTGATTACTGGGATTAAAGGTGTCCACTACCATTGCCCAGCCTTATTCTAATTCTTATGGTTTCTTTTAGAAGAAAATGTATTATGAAAGTGTACGAATATTAGTATTTATTCAAGGACTGTTTTAGTTTGGACACATGCATATTTTATTTAGGAAGATATCAAGAGGGGACTGAGTTATGGCTTTGTTGGTTAAGTGTTTGCTGTGCACATGTTACAAGGCCCCGAGTTGGCATTGCCAGAGCTCATGTAATACACCAAGCATGGCAGTATACATTTGGAATCCTGGCACACAAAAAAATGGAAGAAGGATTGTTACATAATCTTTGCATGACTTTCATCATATTACATGTCCATATTAATATCAGATTTATAGGAGTTGGTTTTGGCTTCACTTGAAGGTTAGTTGAAAACAAAGGTGGGGTGTGGGGGTGTGGTTTAGCTACACTGGAAGTCCTAGGTTCGTTTTCCAGAATTATTCCCCATTCTTCCCCCTTCCCTCCCACCCCCCAATATACAAACTGGCAAGCAGAATTGAGCCCTTGCTTTTTAACAGTTTACCTCTTGTCAAGAGTTAAATAAAGGCTGGGAAAGCAGTTCAGTGATGGAGCGTCCTGGCCTTACAGTCCTTAAGCACTGTAAGCGAAGTTAAGGAAACCCATTTCCAAAGCACCTTAGTTTAAAATTAACGAAGAAGGAAGATAAATTCTTTTGCATTCCTACTATCCACTAATATTGGCAGTGTTGAGGGGAGGTTTAAGAATATTTGCTGATTTATTCTTATAATTTAGTTGATGTGGTAGAAGAAGGAGAGTGAATACTGGCAGGGAAGCAGGAAGTGTTGCAAGTGGAAGCCTTGTCTCTACATTTTCATACAAATTAGTCTGGAAGAACGAGAGCTGCAGGCAGAGGCTAACTCCAGACCTCATTCTCACCTGCCAGCTTGCCTATATGGAATTTGCCCTCATCAAGGCCAATGAGTTGACTGCTATGACTGGTATGCTGCCAGAACTGGCAACACAAAATTGTGATTTGGTTGATGATACTGTGTACATGTGTGAAATTTTCAAAGAATTAAAAAAAATAAATCTCCCAGTAGTTGGCCGTTTGCAAACAGTACTTTAGTAATATTGGCTGCATCAAATTTAGATCTTTGTAAATGGTCTTTGCTAATCTGGAGTTTATTTAAAAGTTTAGGCAGCTCTTTTAAGAACAAAACATACACAAAGATAGGGAAGGTGATTAGAAAGCACACCAAATGATAGTTACATTGAATTTAAAAAAACATAACACAAAACACACCACCAACAATTTGGTGGGGCTGGAGAAATAGGTCAGTGATTACGAGCACTGACTGCTCTTTTAGAGGGCCCAGGTCGGATTCCGAACACCCATGTCTGTAATTCCAGTCCCAGGAGATCTGACACCTTCCTCTGGCCTCCATAGGCACGTGGTACACAGATACATGTAGGCAAAACACCCACACACACCTAATAAACAAACAAGCAAACAAATAAATACATGGCAATTTGAGGAGACCCATGTTCCTTTTTTTGGGGAGCTACTCCGGCTTCTCCTTTGCTTTCTGGGGACAAGATAGAAGCAGTTATGCTCATTAAGTTAAGTGAGAACTGTTTCCTGGTTTAGAACACCACTGTATATATTGATATTAGGTTGTTTATTTTGTTAAAAGATATAAAAGAAACTCACATTTTTGATTGTGAGACTATTAGCTCACTTTAAGGCTAAGTTTGACCTCACTCCTCTGGTTTAGTTTCAATACCAAAAGCATTATTACCATTACTTAATTGCTTCAGAGAGAAATTGGGTTGAATGGAAGGTTCCCAAGTAATTATTTTAAGATCACAAGTTTGGCACAGGATATGCAGGGAATTTAGAATTAGAGATGTCAGTTAACTTGCTGCTTCCTTGGTTAGTTTGTTGGGAGGTTAGTTTCTCGTTTATGTATTTCTTTCAAACACCAATAATGGGACTCTATTCCAGAGAGTCTGTGAAATCTTGTTGCATTAACACACTTACTTCTAGGGCTAGGGCGATGATGGTTCAGTGGAGAAAGTGCTTGCTGTACAAGCATGTGGATGAGAGTGCAGGTCCCCTGAACCCACTTAAATCCCAGGTGGAGACGGTAGCCCTCTAGCTCTTGGAAGGCAAAGATGAGATCTTTGGAGCATGCTGGCTAGCTGGACTAAGCTGTATGGCAGACTGGGTTCAACTGAGAGACCCTGCTTCAGTGAATAAAGCAGAGGGCAGTTGAGGAAGACTCCTCACTGTCACCCCCTGGATTCCACATGACAAGCCCAAGCAGGTTTTGTGTGTGCACCCACACATATGAGGACACAGATAATATATGTACATATACATATGCACATAACACACACATACACATGTAACTCCTTCATTTCTAATATATTTATAATCTTACATGATAGAACAACTAGAAACAGGGTTTGAAGTTTTTGTCCTCTGTTTAAAAGGTACAGGCAGAAGCAGTTTGTCCCATGGTAGAAGTTGTGTTCCTCAAAGGATGGGTGCCTGGTGAGAGAGAAAGCATGTGACAGAAGGTGAATCTGTGTACTGCATCTTCTGTGAGAATGTTTTATTGTGTATGAATGCCATTTACACTGAGCTTGAGTTTCATGGCTGGTTTACACCTTGTTGCAGGCTCCTTAGCTCATGCCAGGTTGCTGTTTGTGGCCAGCACTTGCAGATTGTTCTTAGAGGAGCACCACTGTAAGAGAGGCACTTTGCTGGTTAACCACAGAGTTGGGATGGGGTTGATTTTGATGGGGTTTCTGCTGCTGTTGTCTCTTAACTCCCTTTGGGACAAGTTGACCTAGTAAGACAAGTGACAGTTTGGAGCTTTGTTTCTGTGTTTTTTCAGCTAAACATTTTTGGACAAGTAGCTTCAGCCTGCTCCATCATTCATATAGTGGGATGTGACCCCCATTGCAGTATTGTTCTGAAGATTAAGACCTTGAAAATAATAAGTAGTATTTGAAGTGATCACTGAAAAGTTGGGGAATATAGCTCAGGGGTAAGGTGCTTGCTGACTTCCAAAAGCTGTCCACTGACTTCACACACCAAGGCAGGGGTTAGCACACATACACACACACACTCAATGCAATAAACAATTAAAAAGAAAATGTTCTTCAGATATTAAGGAGGGAGATCTAGATAGACAGAGTTACAGGAAGAAAATCTAAGCGAACAGTGATCATATACAGCAGCTTAACATACTCAGTAATTAAGTATTGTGGTACATATTTAGGTCAAGTTGAGGATGAATGGAATTAAATTATATTTGTAGTCTCAGGATTACCAGGAAATTGGAAAATCAACCAGCTGACGTTATACTTATGTCAGAGATGTCTGTCTCAGTTTGAGGGAACCTTAACATATATACTAAGGAAGAATAGCTTTCAGGCTAAGGGAAGGGGAAAATAGAATGATGAGAAAGGAGTCAGTTCAAAGAGGCAAGCAGCAAAGAAAAAAGGTATAGGGCTAGTTAGGTATAAATAGCTCATAAGACAAAAGCCTATAATCCAAGTAAGTCCACTGAGTGTAAATGCAGCTACTGACTCAATCAAAAGACCAAAATTGGCCAACAAGGTAAAAATAATGAACCACATTATTTAATGATTGTAAATGTGTATTAAGGTTGCAAGTAAAAGGCAAAATAAAAGTACCTGCCACCCAGACACTTGAAGAGCTTGGCACTAGAAGAAGCGTGCCTGAAGCAGAAGCGAAGAGTAGAGCATTACTAAAGGGAGCAGCGACGCTTCATCATGACGGAGTAAAAGTTTCAGGGCGTGCAATGGCACAGACACTTTGCATTTTGTACCACATCCTTCCTGCTGATTTTATTCTTAGCTGTTAGATATGGCTCTGTGTGCCATCAGCATTCCACTCTGCCTGCTTCTCTCAGGACCTTGGAAAGCTGCTCACACTAAATGTGGAAATGCCGGGTAGTTGACTTCCCAGGGCAAACCTCAGCAGGGTGAGGATGGTAAAGGCAGCAGCTTCCTGTTGCTCACAGAGGCAGTTCTGAAACTGTCTTCTTCCTTAGTGGGTTCCCAGTAGCACAGCTCCAGCTGCTTACTGACCATGCATGGTCTTCCTGCCTCTCTTTTCACCATGCCTTCCAAGGTCACTCCAGTTATCTATCCAGAAGTCCACTTGTCAGATTGTGCTTTTAGGAAAACTCAAAATAGGACCAAATAATTTTAACTTTTCTATTGTGTATGTAAAAAGTACCAGGACTGTCAGTAGGAAATAATGAAGCTACAGTCATGCTTAGCACATTTTTCTTAGTAACTGATGGAGGACATTCATAAAGATACAGATTTGAACAGCATGATCAGCAAACTTGACCCAGTTTATAACTATAGAACATGACACAAGAGAACTGCAGAGCATGCATTTCTTTTCCAGCACAAACTGAATGATTACCAAAATTGACTCTTCACTGTGCTATGAAGTAAACTTTCTCATAAACAAAGTTTTGAAATCATAGATAAGCTCTCTTTATATAGCAGAAACAAGTTAGAAAAAGATAACTGAAAAAATTTTTGTGTTTCGAAATTAAGTAAAGTTCTGAATGACTCAGAGAAGTTGTGATAAAAGTGGAAAATAGTTTGAATAGTCTCAGATCTCAGCTCTGAGACTCTAATAATCCAACTGTAAGTAGTTAATAACAGCCTTCAAATGGACAAAGCAAACACAGACAGGTTTAGGGAGAAATTACATTCATGGCAAGTGTAGAAGACTTAACACAGCTCTCTTGCTATTGGTAGAGCAAGCACATAGAAAGACCAGTTAAGGGGGAGAGTTGATCAAAATCAACTCGACCTAATTAATCCTAAACATGTTCTTTTTAAGTGACTGAAATATTTTACTGCCATCAGGCAGCTCTCACCATAATCAGCAAGTTAAATTATATTTTTATAATAAAGTAGATTTAAGCTAAAACTCAATACAATAAAAGACAACTTCTTAAGTACTTGGTAATTAAGCAATATACCTCAATATACCTCAAAATGACCTTTATTTTTAGAGTTGTTTGTTTTATTTATGAATATGAATATTCTTCCTGCATATATCTATGTGCACCACGTGCATGCTTGGTGCCCACGTAGGTCAGAAGAGGCCATTCGATCCCCTGGAGCTGGAGTTACAGATGTTGTGAGCTACCATGTGGGTTCTGGGAACCGAATCTAGGTCCTCTGAAAGAGCAGCTAGTGCTTTTAGGTATCTCTTCAGCATCCCAAATACCTTTACGTCATGAAGAACTCACAGTGAAAATTAGAGTATGCTTTGAGAATGAGTGATGATGAACTTGCTGTGGATCATATTTGGGGGGCTGGTACAGGGGCAGCATGTGTGCTTATAGATGCAGAGGCCTGGGTTCAGGCCCCTGTGGATCAAATTTTACCGGTTTCTAAAAATGAAATATTTTTGGTTATAAGAAATTTTAAGCTTTATATCTGCCATTTTTTATGAGGATTTATTATTTATTTTAACAAAGAAGGTTAGGGAGAATAAATCAGACAGGAGTGTGAGCTTTAAACTAACTTTAAACTTGTAAGAGTCATTCGTATTTTTAGCTGGTATGTACCTTATTGACTCAGCCATTTACTTGCCTGCCTGGGAAGAAGGCTAACCATGTAGATACACTTGAGAATGTTAGTTTGCAAGTAAGTACAGGGTTATTGTTTTTAGATTGAAGGGGCACCCTTTCAGTGCTAATACTGAACAGTACTATCCCTTTCTGTTTCTAGGTGGAAATATTGCATCAACAGATAGAAGAACATGAAAAAACCAAGCAAGAAATGGCCATGGAGTATAAGCAGGAGCTAAAGAAGCTGCAGGAAGAAGTGAGGCTTAGTTCTGTGACGTGACATGCTCTTTCTCTGTAACTGACTGTTGGGTTGACAACTTGTTTCTACTTTGGATGGTAGGAAATACATATCCTGTGTGATGTATGTGGAAGTATGTGGTAGAAATATATTTTTCCAACCTTGAATGTAGGCAAAGAATCTACTGTTTGATATCACCTAAACCAGCAATTGCCTGAGATTTGAAAGGAAAAAGAGATAGATTTGTATAATACTGAAATCTTGATACCAGAAAACTTAATATTTTAATTTCTAAGTTCATTCAGTTACTTACTTTTAAATATTAGAAAATACAAAGGGCTTAGAAATATTTTGGGAGCTGTGCAGTGGTAGTGCACTCTTAATCCCAGCACTCGGGAGGCAGAGGCAGGTGGGTCTCTTTGAGACTGGCCTGGTCTACAAAACGAGTTCCAGAATAGTTGGGACTGTTACACAGAAAAACCTTGTCTCTAAAACCAAACCCAAATCCAAGCCAAACCAAACCAAACCAAAAAACCAAAATAATAGCAAAAAAAACCCCAAAACAATAGCAACAAAAAGAAAACTATTAAGTCAAGATTAAGAAAAGCAAGGGCTGCAAGATGTCTTATTGGGTAGAGTTACTTGCTACCAGGCCTCATGGTATGATTTGATCCCAGGAGCGTATATGGTGGAAGGAGAAAACCAGCTTCTGCAGACTGTCCTCTGGCCTCCTCTTGGTGGACTGTAGTGTACATACGCTTCTTCCCCCAATATCCCATTTCTTAAGGTAGAAAATGGGAGGCAAGAGATAACTCAGTAGTTGAGAGTGTACTGTTCTTGCCGAGGACCCCAGTACAATTCCCAGCACCCACATTAGGAATCTTACAAGCACCTGTAATTACAGCTTGAGAGATCTGAAATCCTCTTCCGGGCACCATGGGCTTGCATGCACGTACTCACATAGAGACAAACACATGTAATTGGAAATGAAAAATAAAATCTCTAAAAAGAAGAAAATTCTATTTTAGTAGTCAATTAACATTTTTTTTTTTTTTAAATTACTTATTTTTATTTTATGTTCATTGGTGTTTAGCCAGCATGGGTGTCTGTGTGAGGATGTCACTTGGAATTACAGACAGTTGTCAGCTGCCATGTGGGTGCTGGGAGTTGAACCCGGGACCTCTGGAAGAGCAGTCAGTGCTCTTAACTGCTTAGCCATCTCTCCAGCCCCTCAATTTAATTTTTAATATTCAGGGAACATTACTTTTGTTTTGATTTAAGTCAGATTCTCCTGTTTACTGTGCAGCAGTACTCTCAGGAATATGTCCTGAGGACCACTGGCCCAGAGGGGAACAGTCGCTGCTTCCTCTCTTATGTCGAGTGGGTTGCATGGCAATTGTAATAAAGATAAACTTTATTTTCTCTTTGTGGATTGAAAATTTCATTGCTAGCATTTATTTTGTTCACACACACATATAAGCAGGCATGCACTTTGAGATAGGTATCCCAGGCTAGTCTTCAGGTAGTTGAAGATGACCTTGGCCTTCTGATTCTCCTGCCTCCGCCTAATTGTATGGTCCCTGACTCTGCTACCATACCCAGTTTCTGTGGTACTGGGGTCCAGCCAGGGCTGGTGCTTACTAGGTCAGCACTCTACCAGCTGAGCTTTGTCCCAGCCCTGTCATTTGTAGGTCTTCTTTTTTTCTTTGCACTCTAACATGCTGCCAGTCTTATTTTCAACAGTGTAATTCAACAGTGCTCAATTTGTCTGACCACCACAATTACTAATTCTTAAATTTTAAGTAAATAACTGCTTTTTTACAGTTAGGCAGACTGAAGAAAAGCTATGAGAAACTACAGAAAAAGCAAATAAGAGAATTTAGAGGAAATACGAAAAGTCTGCGGGAGGATCGATCAGAGATTGAGAGGCTCACTGGAAAAATAGAGGTATGTCCTCAGGCTTACTGGGAAACAGAGGTATGTCCTCAGCAGTAGTCCTGTTGCCATCGTCAGGTGTTGTGTAGGAAAATGCTATCTCTAAAGGCTGTTTCCTACAGCCAGTTCCAGCTGTCTTAGCTGCCATTGACGTATTCAGTGGGGGGTGAGTGGTCCAGAGTGGAGCTCATCATCACCTGCTCCCCTGTGGCTGACAGAGTTCCAAGTCATCAGTAAATCTCAAGAGGGTACTTTTGCCTCACAGGGCACTTGGAAACGTATGGGGCTTCTGGTGCGTTTGTTCTTTGTTATTATGCATGAAATTGTCATTTATGGTGCAGGTTTTAGGAGTAGCCAGCACGCCTGAGACTGTTCCGCAGAAGTTCTTAGTACTCAGTAACTCTCATCCTGAGAAACACTGACCATCAGTTAGTAGCAGCACCCTATCTTATCACTGTCTCCACACCTAACCCAGGAGGTGCTTAGTGACTGTGGGAAATTCGGGGCTTTTTCTTGTAGAGTACTCTACACATCAGGTGGTTTAGTTTTAGTTCCCATTTAGATAGAGAGTAAGTTACAAAGGTTTCATCTCCCTATCTGGCTTCTAATAGAAGACAGTGAGCCCCTCTCTTCTGTATGAGCTCTTCAGTGCATAATAACAGTCACCTAGCATGCTTTGGGACCTCAGAGCGCCTGATCCAGTAGTGGTTTGAGAAACTGTTCAACACTTTTGTGCGACTACTTAAAAAAGTTTCTACTCTGGGTAATCTGTGACACAGAAATGTTAGTATTCTTCACTGTCTGGAATTGTAATTTTTATGTTTAATATTTTTTTTACATCTCAATATTTTATTGATTTAGAACTTAGAATCAGAGGGCCACACAAATAGTGCTTTCCCTCCAATCTTCTTTACTGCTGTCTTTCCTTCCAGCTCCTCATACTACTGTCATCAACCTAACCTTAGTAGAACCTTAGTAGCCATCCTCTGGTCCAGGTCACTTCACTGACTCTGAGGTGCAGCTTTAGATTGTTGCTGTCCTCTGCAACATCGCTGTCATTATGACCTTTGAGGGTTTCATCCGCAGGGATAGTACACATTACACTCTGGCCTTGGAATTTCCTAGCATCTTTTCTTCTGTAGCTGTTTTGATCTCCACCTTGTCTCATCCACTTACTCCTATTGGTATTCCTCAGTTTTTGTTTTTATGAGATTGTGTTCAGTAATATAGTCATTTTCATATTATTTCTGCCAATCCACAAGCATGGCAAGCCTTCTCATTCTTGGTGTCTTCTTCCATTTCTTTCTTTGGAGTTTTAAACTTTTCATTGAAGAGATTTCTTTCCTTCCTTGGTTGTGTTATTCCATAGTATTTGTATATGTGTGTATATGTATATATATTAAATTCTGTTTTGTTTTTTTTTAACTTATTATGTATACAATGTTTTGCTGGCATGTGTGCCTGCAGGCCAGAAGAGGGCACCAGATCTCATTATAGATGGTTTTGAGCCACTATGTGGTTGCTGGGAATTGAACTCAGGAACTCTGGAAGAACAGACAGTGCTTTTAACCTCTGAGCCATCTCTCCAGCCCAAGGCGTGTTTCTTGCAGGCAACAAATAGATAGATCCTATTTTTTTAATCCAATCAACTAGTCTAGAGAGAGAGAGACTCTGACTAACTGACTAACTTAAATGGAGTTGTATGCACACATGTCTGTGTGTGTCCATGTGAGTGCATGTGGAGAGGAAGAAGTTGTGTGTCTCCCTCTTAAGTTTTTAGTTTACATTTGAGACAGGATGTCTCATTAACCTGAAGCTTGCCCGCCAGCAAGCTCCTGGGACCCTACTATCTCCTCCCCTCCCTTCTCCCCATGGAGTTATAGTACATGGTACACATGATCATGCTCAACTTTTTATGTGGTGCTGGGGATTTGAACTCAGGGACTCTTGCTTTCTCAGCAAGCACTCTTACCCACTGATGTTGCAGGATTTTTGATCACACTGTGAACCCTGAGATTGTGTTGTGTACTGGAAAAACTTGTTTCTAGTTGTGTTGTGGCTTAGCCCCAGCACACACCTTTAATCTAAGAGTTTTCTATTGCTTGAGTATGGTAAACAGGATTAACTAGAATTAACCTTTGGTCAAGAGGCGGAGCAAGCAGCCAGTTGACAGGGAGTGAACATAGAGAAAAACCAAAGAGTTAGGAGGATGGTTAGATAGACTACAGGAATTAGAAGGGAGGGACATTCAGTTTGGAGCATTTCCTTTACTTCCTGGGTTGTCTGCTAAGGAAGAAGGCCAGTTGGCTGCTTTCTGAGCCTCTCTGAGCCAGCCGACTTGCACCCCAACAACTTGCTTCCGAGTCTTCATTGAACAATTAGATTTTGCTAAAAACAGCACACTGACTCACTTTCCTAGCTTTAGGCTGTATCTTTTGATTAGAGAATTGAGGCCGTTACTATTCAGATATTAATGAAGGTATTCATTCCTTTCTGTCATTTTGTTGTTTCATAGTGTCTGGTATCTTTGTAATCCTCATTTGTTTATTTACTATGGTAGTAAAGTTTAGTCTTTCCTGTTGCATCACAGTTGTTTGTCTTTTCAGTACGTAGAGTACTTCAGTATTACTACAATGAAATCATTGTAGTAATAATTGCTTTATTTTGTGTTTATCAAGGAAAATTTTTCTTTCTCCTTCAGTTCTAAAGAATAGGCTATAAATAACATTCTGTTGCTGTGGTAAAACACTATAACCAAAACCAACTTGGGGGAAAAGGGTTTATTTCAGCTCACAGCCTGCCAACAAGGGAAGCCAGGGCAGGAGCTCAAAGTAGAATGTGCAGGCAGGCACTGAAATAGAGACAATGGAGGGACACTGCCGTCTTGTTTGTTTCCCTGACAGGCTCAAGTATCTGTCTTACACAGCCTAGGCCTCTGCCCAAGGATGGCAGCTCCCACAGGAGTTACTAATGAAGTCAGTGCCCCACAGACATGTCCACAGGCCAGTCTGATGGGGGCAATTCCTCATTTGAGGTTTCCTCTTCTCAGATATGCCTACTTTGTGTCAAATTAATAAAAACTAACCAGCACAGACGGTTTAGTGGTTATAATAAGCTAGGTTGGCAGTATTGTCTTTTAGAGCTTGAACTGCATTGTGCCCTACCTTCTTGGCTTTTAGGTTTCTGTTGTGAAATCTTTTATTCTGATGTGTTTACCTTTGTGTTGGCACCTCTCTCAGCTTTGGTAATCTTTGTTTTCTATGTTTATTGTTTTAACTATAATGTGATGTGGAAAGGTTCTTTTCTGGTCTTGGCATTCTCAATGTTTTTTGTGTCTTGATAGCTCTGTCCCTGTATTTGGAGAATTTTCAGCTATGGCTGTGTCGAATGTGTTTTCTGACCCTTTATTTTAAACTTGTCACTCTTCTGTGCCAATGAATCATAGATTTGGTCTTTATGTATATATGTGGGCACATGTGTATGAGCATGCATGGGTATGTGATGTATGTGTGGAGATTAGAGGTCAGTGGTAGTTACTTTCTGCCTTACTTTTTGAGACAGACTCTCTCACAGAACCTAGCACTCACTGGTTCAGGTGGCCTGGCTGGCTTGTAAGCCTTGTTAATACTGCCTTGTCACTGGAATTTCAAATGTGTGCTGTCACACCCAGCATTTTCTAGTGAATGCTGGCTTGTATGCTTATATGGCAAGCATTGTTTACATACTGAGTCTTCTTACTAGCCTTTGGATTTTGTCTTTTAATTCTGTCGTGTGGATCTTGTACATTCCCTTCATTTTTTCTTATTATCTTTGTCATTGTCTGAATGTTCTAATTCATCTACCTTGTCTTCAGGTCTGAAACTCAGTCTTCAAGTTGATCTATTGGATAGGCTTTCCATTGAATTTTTATTTGACTTAAGATTTTTATTTACAAAATTTGTTTGCTCTTGTATTCCTGTGTCTATTGAATTTCTCTTTTATATCCAGTATTGACTTTCCTATTTCATTCAGATGGCTGTTTGCATCCTTTTTGAATTCCATCAAAAGTTTGTTTCTGTCATTTGATGTCATTGAACATTCTTACTTATTCATTCGTTTATTGTGCATGCCATGCCTGTTATCCTGCAGTTGAATAGGGCTGGCACATGTGATAGAAAGTCATGTAGACAGACTGAATGAATGGAATATCAGAAAGCTGGCTTACAATAATTAATCTAAGGAGCAATTTAAAGTTGAAGATTCCTGGAGGACACAGATGGGAAGATTAAGAATCTTTTCCCTTTGATTTGCTTTATTTTCAGAAATGTAAGGCTCATTTTCATGACATACAATTTGAAATTGCTGTTGATCAGCCATTACTTTTAAACTATTTGGCTCTAGGTTATAAATACCTGTTAAAACGTGGTGCATATTTTCCATGTTATTCAAGCTTTTGCAAGCCTTTTCTTCTGTTAGATAATAAAAGTTTGGCTATCAAAAATACTGTTACTAGCAGAATATGAAGTGAGAATTGTGCTACTGAGTTACTGCTTCGGAAATCTGTTTGAATCTGTTGAGTCTGGGTGTCAGGAATTTAGATGTTAAGGAAATATTATTTTAGTATTACTTTTCTGAAAAATACAAAGTAGTAATAGCCCTTGGGTGGCAGCAGATCTGTAAAGATGCTCATGAGCCCACTGTCATGAGTCTGTTTCTTCCTCTTCACCATTAGCATGTTAAATTTAGAAAGACAGACATCCACAGGCACTGTGTGAGCAGAATTCAGTATTCCTCTGCAGCTCAGTCAGCTGATGAGTAATGGGGCTCCTGCTGAGGAGAAGGGTGCAACTGTACTCAGGGAGCAGGGGACTGTGAAAGCAACCCAGGGAGGCACTTAGATATTAAGTCCCTTAATTGCTTCTTCAGGAATTCCGCCAGAAGTCTCTGGACTGGGAGAAGCAGCGGTTGATTTATCAGCAACAGGTATCTTCTCTGGAAGCACAGAGGAAGGCTCTGGCTGAACAGTCAGAAATAATCCAGGTAGGCTTAAGCCATCTGACGGATGGGTTTTGATTGAATCTGACCTACTACCATGCATTTTCTGATGGATGCTGTTGTCTTTTTTGGATTCTTTTCTCTGCTAACCTTTGTTTGGTAAACCCATTTCCCTTCCCCCACTCTGTGTCCTTTTCCATTTCTTTCTGCTTCTGTCATTGGCTTTTCTGGCTCTGCTTCTGTCTGTGCCTTGTTCATCTCTATGACAGCTTGAGTACTTTGGCCAAGGTGCCTTGGCGAGGGAGCTTAGACAGTCTGACTAGAAAGAATCTCAGTGCACTGGTATGCCTCATAATGAAAAGTAGTGTCTTTGTAGCTACAGAATAGTGGTAGGAACTTATAGAAACCAATGACTTCAGCAAAAACTAGATAGACACTGAATTTAGGATATGTCCTTGGGGCATAGCCAGCTCCTTGGCCTTTTTCCTCTAAAATCAAGAACACAACAAGGAGTGAACAGAGGTGAGTATGTGTAGCGTTCTCTATTATCTGTTGGGTGCTCATCAGTTGTGTATGTTATCTGTAGGATAACAATCTGTCCACACTGTAGTTATCTCAGCTTCTAGAATGTCAGAACAGCCTGGTAAGTTCAGAGAGCTAGAGGAAGATGTTTGGGTTCTTTTCTTTTAAGACTTCATTTTATTTGCTGTTTTAAGCATTGGCATCTTCTTTGTGTCCCTAAAATACCAGCGGTCTAGTACACTATTGTAAATATTCTTGCTATGAGAAGCTCCATGGAGACTTTCATGGAGGGCCCTAAATTCCACAGAATGAACACATTTTGTCATCTGCATGAAGCTACTGGCAAAGTGGGACGATGGAGCCCTCTTTGGGGAGGGAGTGAGACAGGGATGACGGTTTAACCTGATTGAGAAACTTCTGTGTTCTTAGAGGCTGTGACTGCTGTATTCTAATTGTAGCTGTTAGACTGTGAGAGAACAAACTGAGCTTTTGCTTTTTCAATCCACATTTTAGTCATGTTATTTGTTGATTATATAGTGTTTAAGTCACTGCTGTCAAATTATTATTGTGACTAATTCTATAATTCAAATTTCCTTTTTAGTAAAAATGGAGTTTTTATTTACTATTCACTCAACTAGAGCTAGAATAAGATATTTGTAAAGAGCCAACATCGTTTGTACCCACTAAGGACATTTGAATAATTGTTCTCATAATTTTATTTAAAAAAAGTTATCTGATTAGTTAAAAGTATTACATGTAAATGCATTTCTGGTTCTCCTTTGGCAAGCTAAATAAGAATTAAAGCTTCCTGTGACTCAGTTTGTGTCAATCAGTGCTGTATGATTATCTTTACTGAGCATTAATTAAATCTTTGTGTGCCCATTACCTAGTGTTAATAGTTGTCATCATCTTGCCAATCTTGTGTATGAATGAGCATTCAAAATTTGTAACAGAAATTGTACCTTATTTTCTTTTCTGGGTAGTATTGAAAGCAGGGCCTCACGCATGCTTGGCAAGCACTGTACCAGTGAGCTGAATCCCGTACCACCTAACCTGGCTTTCACCTAACCTGGCTTTCTGTGCAGCTATTCTTTCTAGTGTTAACAGCACGCGCTGCACAACTGTTCTTTGGAACTTTTTTGTTCTGTTTTGTTTTAAAGAAGGACATGGAACTTAAAAAACATATATTTTCTTTTATTTGTGTGTATGGGTTTTTACCTGAATGTATGTGTATCTGTCACAGTGCCTCAGAGCAGGAACAGGGCATTGCCCTGGAACAGATCATTGTGAGTTACAGTATGGGTGCTGGGAACTGAACCCAGGTCTTCAGAAGAGCAGCCCTTGCTCTTATCCAAGGAGCCATCTCTCCAGCCCAATTCTTTCATCTTTGAAAACTGAAACTGTGTACACTTTTATTCTTTATTTTTTGTTATTAAAATGTTACAAAGTAAATCATAGACATCATCTCATTTCAGAATAGGTAAGACTTATAATTCCTATAATATGACAGGATAATATCAATACAATAAATAATAGCAGTATAACTTAGTATTCAGTCTGTGCAATTTTCTCCAGTTGTCTAAAAACTGCCCTTTCACAGTTGGCTGTTTGAGGCAGAATCCAATTGAGCGTGACTCATTACAGTTAGTTGATATGTGGGACAGAAGAAAATCTGGGAGATTGGGCAAATCTTATGAAAAAATTTGACAAAAATTCATTCGTATTTTTAACATTTAAAAATAAGATTCAAAAATAGCTTCATGCTCTTTGAGTCATGATTTGCTTGAATTCTACTCAGCTATTAAAATTACATACTCCATGCTCATTTTAGAAAAATGAGAACAACCTTTCTCTGGCTTTTTCTTTTTTCTTTTTAAATGTAGTTTTGGAGCTTCAAAGAAACCATTGTAGCAGACAGGGCGACTGCTTAAGAACAACATGGTTGGAAGCAGCAAGGGCTTTGCTTTTCCAGGGAATCCTAGTATAAAGGCCTAGTTATTGCAACACCAGGCCTTCCCTGTCTCCCCATCAGGGTCACCTCCAGATGTGTCCACGCAGGCCATAGCATCCCTATAGGCAGCAGCCTGAAGGGCCTACAGAGCTCTGAGCTCAGTGTGCACCTCTGACCCTGCTGTGTCTACCGCCCACTGCATTCTGACTTGAAGTGCTCTCTGTCTTTCTAAGGTAAATTGCCTTAATGCTTTTCTTTCACTGTCGTTCGTGGAGTTGAGGTAACTCTACCCTTCATTGAGTAAAACAGTGTTGAAGGCTTAGCAAATAAGGGAAAATTCCGGTTTCTGGGCAAAAAGAAAAGATTTCAATTATATTTACCTTTAAATGCTTCTAAAGCCAGCTGGTTAGGAGGAATAATGGTAATTTTAGGAGTTGTTTCTGTGATTTTCTGACTTGCTTAGGACAGGAAGAGCGAGATTCGTGCCACTGTAAGAGCATAGGAGCTGCACAATTTTCCATCTTTTGTGGTTAGATTAAAAAGGTAAAAAAAGTAAAGTTAATTTTAATATTATATTGTATTTAGCCCACTATGTCAAATTATTATCAGTTCTAATTTTACAATTTTTTTTAAAACTTAAGTCATTGGTACCCCACTGCATGAGAGCATTTTTCAAATCAGATTAGCCACACTGCCACAGTGAACCGTATAGCCTGGGATATCATTTCTAGTAATGAAAACGCTGTCTTTTTGCACGGGTGAAATAGTAGATCAGTGAAAGAATACGGATTTTCAAAACTGAGATACTCGTTCTGAAGTAACAGCTCTAGACTAGCTGGTTGCTCTGTGGCTTACCACTGCTAAAGCTCCAAATCTGAATTTGCTTTCAGGTCCCAGTGTCACATAATGATCAGGTTTCCCATTATGTGTTGTTGGTCCTCCTGAGCGCTCATTTGAGCAGAGGTTTCCAGGTGAGCTTTGAGCTCTGGGCCTGGTGGATAGGTTAGGGATGGGGTAAGCTGAGGCTCAGCAAAGGACCACAGTCCTTTCCTCCTTCCTGCCCGCAACCAGTCTGCATTTACTTATTCTGCAGAGGGTTCTATGTAAGATCTCTCTTGAAGAGGAAGGTTAGATTGTTTTTGAAACTCTGGAGACAATTGCATGCATAGCAGTTAGCATTAAACTTGTGTTGAATCTTCGGTCACATACCATTCTGGGGATCTGGTGAAAAAACAAAACAGTTGCCTCTACCCTGCGGCCTTGAGCTCTAATTTACACAAAATTATTTGTCTGTGTCTTTGCCTCCCTCCTTCTCTCTGTCTCTCTCTTTTTTAAGCAGCTACTTTGTGTCACCATAATATAAAGTATAAGAGTTTGGTCCTGTAAGATATACAATAGAAGCTTTAAGTGGTAGCAGATGGTTTCCACAGAGATATTTCTGTTTGAATTTCTACAATAAAATTGTTTGTCTTTCCTTAAGGGATGTTTAAAATGAGGGAAATTTACCTTTATGAATGATTTATGTCCATTTTGAATGTATAAATGAAAAACCAGTCTGGATACTGAATTTAAACTTGAGAAAAGCAGGATGTGGGAAGCCAAAACCACTTGAGGTAGCATGCAGAGCTATCTGGTTAAGCATTGCACACCACAGGCCATGAGACTATTGCTGCACTGGTTTTATTTGAGCAGACTTCAGTAGGTAATGCCACTGAAAGAAACTAATTCACCAAGTGCTATGTTTAATCTAGGAAATGTCCAAAAACTGCTGATTGAACCAATCATTCCTATGAGGGAATCTTTTCTTTCCTCAGTGAACACAATTATTGATTATTTTTTTTTACCATTTCCTATCATTAACGTGTGTTTCCAGGCCCAGCTTGCCAACCGGAAACAGAAATTGGAGTCTGTAGAACTGTCCAGCCAGTCAGAAATCCAGCACCTGAGCAGCAAGCTCGAGCGGGCCAAGGACACCATCTGTGCCAATGAACTGGAAATAGAGCGCCTTAATATGAGGGTCAACGACCTGGTGGGAACCAACATGACTATCCTGAAGGAGCAGCGGCAAAAAGAGGAGAAACTGAGGGAATCTGAAAAGTTATTGGAGGTGTGTGTTAGAAATAGTAGGTTAGGGAAACGTGTATGAGTGTTTAAGAGACTGATTGACCTAGTGCCAGGTTCCAGTATGCTCAGCTTCCTCTTTGGGCTGATAGCTGTATTCATTCTTGTCCTTATCGTAAAACTTACAGTCAGCCTCCCTGGTTGCCTTTCTCATGAAACAGAAATATTGTAATGTTATCTGACTCTGTTTCTGGAGTATTTTGCAGGCTCTGCAGGAAAAAGAGAGCTAAAGGAAACTTGTAATAATATCTGACTGCTTTCTTGAGTGTTTTGCAGGCTCTGCAGGAAGAACAGAAAGAGTTGAAGGCAAGTCTTCAATCTCAAAGCTTCATCCTTGAGGCAAGAATGCAGGAGAAACTGCAAACAAAATTAATGGCAGTTGACACTCAGCTCACAGTAGACAGCACAAGGTCTGTTTGAACCTTAAATATTATTCTGCTAATACATTTGAAGGTTTGGAATTGAATGCGGATTTTAATTTTGATATTTTCATTTTTATGTGTAATCATCTTATTCAGTTTTAATTTATGAGTTAGATTTTTATTGTCATGAAATTTACATGGATGGTTTTGTCTCCTTTTCATTTGAGTCTCTAAGATTCCGAGGATCATGAAGTTGGAAACTCCTTATTCTCTCCTTGTTGAGTCCTGGAGAGCCTCCCTGCCTTAGGAGACTGGGCATGGTGAGGGTTAGTTGCTTGTCATTGGTAACAGCCTGTCACTGAGCCAGCCCTTTTGAGGACTGATTTATTATTGTTGTTTTGAGACAGGATCTCATGTATCCTGGCTACCTTTAGAGATACTATGCAGTTGAGGATGACCTTGAACTCCCAAGTGCTGTGGTTACAAGTGTGTGTGACCACACCCAGTCTCAGGGCTTCATACCAGCTAAACTATATATCCCCAGCCCTGGTTTTGTATATCCATTATTGCCAGGGCACTGTTATAGTTAAAAATAATAGAATAAATGAGCTTCCTTTTGTTTAAGTCAGACATGCTTCTGTTCTTGCCAGACTGTCTGTAACTTTCCAGTTTCTTTGATGGAAGAAGTCAAGTGTCAACAAAGTGTTTTTGCTATTTCATATAGCTTTTCCCCTTGAAAAACATGCCAAATCCTTGTAGATTAAATTGCTGCTGAGCCTGGACTGTTCTCCTGTTATTTCTTTTCCCACAAAGCAGACTACAAACTGAAGTGTTCTATGGAGCTTAATTACAAGAACAGTTGGGACAACAGTCTGTTTTTGCATTGTTTTTGTTTACCAAGATAAGAGAGAGACCTGTTTCTTTCCCCTGTCCTCTTTAGGCCTCTGGAGAACTGTCAAGTAGAAAGGAGGTACATCTCTCAAGGGCAGGGGGTTGTGGATGATGTGCTCTCCCACTTGAACTACAGTCATACCAGTGAAGAACTCCTGCAGGCAGAAGTGACTCATCTTGAAGGCAGGTAGATAATTAGCTACTCATTTAAAACTTCAGGGTGAACTTTGATCCTTATGTTGGCTGAGTAAAATAACACAGTAGTTGAAAATAAAGTTGTTTTTTTCCCCTCTAGCATTCAGAAATGGCCTCACTTTCTAGTTTACTGAAAAAGCAGACAAGAGTGTCCTGTCTATCTGCCAGTTTGCCTGCATCTGAGCCTGTGATCTGGGCCTGCATCTGCTGAGGGGTCTGTGACTGACTTGTCTCACCCATGATTCCTTTCTTGGGCCTTCTTCAGGATGGCTTATATGCACAGAAAGTGTTCTGTGATCTCTTCCATGTTGAAAACAACTAAACCCCTGTAAACCTTTTACTCCATGAGAATGTTTCCTCTTTCTCTGTTCTTCAGAATCAAATTCTTGAAGATTTGTGTGTTCTGATTGTTCCCACATCACCCCTTAACTTTTTAGGCCCCCTCAGTTCAGCTTTCCTCTCTACTGCCTTACTGAAACTGTTCTTGGAAAGGACATAGTAGGCATGTGTTGTTCCTTCTTTCTCTTTTATGGTGTAATTTCAATTTTCTTGGCTGTGAATTGAATGATGGCATTGCACAGTGTAGCATAGCATGGTACAGCACGGCATGGCACAGTACAGCACAGTACAGCACAGCACAGTAGGACATAGTGTGGGAAATCATGCTTATATTTGCCATACTTACAAACTTCTTTTTGTTTATCATATTTGTAAACTTTTTTACTGGGAAGAGTTTGATATTTTGTTTTAAATTCATTTATCATACTTCCTTGTATACTAATTTTTTGTGTGTGCAAAAAATTATATAAACTATTAACCTTTAGGCAAAAATAGAACAAGAAGAAATGCCATTTGACACTTTCTTTATACATTACATCTTTTTGTTTTCACTTTGCTGTTCTGGAAAGAACTATTATTCTGTGTGCTTTCTTTTTTCACTCTTCTGCTTTACACCGTTTAGAGTACGTGAGGCACTGATGATCACTATTGAGATGTGTGTGTATGCTTTAGACTGAGCTAAGTAAGCTGACTATTATGATGATGATGATGAAATTTTTTTTTTTTTTTTTTTGAGACAAGGTTTCCCTGTGTAGCCCTGGCTGTCCTAGAACTCCCTTCTATAGCCTGTGGTGGCCTTGAACTCAGAGGTCAGACTGCCTGTGCCTCCCAGGTGCTGGCATTAAAAGTATGTTTCAGGGGGCTGGAGAGATGGTTCAGTGTTTAAGAGCACTGTCTGCTCTTCCAAAGGACCTGGGTTCAATTCCCAGCACCCACATAGCAGCTCACAACTGTCTGTAATGCTCAATTCCAAGGGATCTGACACTCACACTAATGCACATAAAATAAGTGAAATAAATAAATAAACATGCCTTGAATAAAAAAAAAAAAAAAAAAAGTATGTTTCACCTGGAACAAAAATTTATGTTTTTAATCATAGTTTTCTCCCTGAGTGGCTTTCTGATAATCTTCACTGTCATGTCAGGTTCAGAAGTTATTCCTCTGAGTCTGACCCTTAGCATTACACTGAACAAACACCTCAGCCTTTCCAGGCCCCGCTTTTCCCCTTGTGAGGCTAGGACTCTGTGATCTCTGTTTTACTCCTCCGTTGGCCTCAGGGTTTAGCACATTGTAATCATATACTAAGTACTAAATAAGTGCAAATTCCAGAATTTCTGGAAATAAAATTAGAATGGATAAATAACAGTGTTCAGTAATAATGGCTTGAATTTTTTTCTTTGAAAAATCAAGTGGACAAAAGAACCGTTTTAAACAATTTGTGGTGTTTAGTTTGTATAGCACTTAAAACAGGAAATGGGGGAGTTTAATTGATTGTTTTTATGCTGTTGTACTACAAGGATGATATGTTGTTGTTTTTTTATTAAAGTTTATTTTATTGTTATTTTATGTGCATTGGTGTTTTGCCTGTATTTATGTCTCAGTGAGGGTGTCAGATTTCCCTGGAACTGGAATTACAAACATTTATGAGCTGATTGTAATATGTGAGTGCTGGGAATTGAAGCTGAGCCCTCTGGAAGAGAAACTAGTGAATGCTCATAACTGCTGAGCCATCTCTTCATTCCCCAAAGATGATATTTTTGAATGATAACTTATCTGGCAAGTTGGCTATGTTTATGAAACAGTGTAGTACTAAGCATTTGTAGAAAAGTCTAAAAGCATGTGCTGTAGGGGTTAGGGCTAATGGCTAAATTTGGCAGAAGTAAGAAATAAAATATTTTAGTCTTAGAATTTTCAGTTTCAGAGATAAAATATTCATGTTAAAGGACTTGAATTTAAAGTAGAAAATTCTAAGAAAAATTACTGACAGGTTATAAAAATTGAAAGTGAACTATATAAGGTGATTAGGGGAATGAGGACTGGGGTGACTATAATTAGGTAAATTCCGATTTAGTTCCTGAGAAGGTATTGGCCACCAAGGAGTAGGGAAAGGAGTGCATTGTGGTGAAAGGATGATTGTGTTGACACAAGAGGCAGGCTTGGAGCCTGGCATTTGGCAGACAGCAAAGCTCAGCAGTTTAGGAGCAAAAAGATCATGTGAGAAAGGAACAGTGGAATGAGAGGCATGTTGCTTCCATGACTCTTATGCCTCAGAAGGATTGGCTCTTGAGTAAGAATAATGATTTGGGACTCTTTAAAGGTTGTTGTGGTTTTGTATAGCATGGTGTGTATGCATCACTAAGGGTGATGAAGTTTGAGTCTGTTGTGACAGTTCTGGTGGCTTTCCCTCTCATACAGCTAGAGCAAACTGTTAGTGAAGTTGCTGGTGTTTTTATAATTCTGTAACCAGTGGAGTTTAAGTCAGGGAAGAGGAGTAGAGGTCAACACAGAAGTCAGAACTACCTCAAAGTGTTGAGATGGCTTTGCTGCAGTGGTGATAGTGGAACTGAAAGTGACTTTTAATGTGGGATATGAAGTTTAAGATATTAGTAGGGTATGTCTTGGGCACCAATAAGGTACATTTAGATAACCCATCTTACGGATTTGGGGCATTTTATTTATATGTGGTTGTATCTCTGCCATACAGTTTGGAATCCGTGAGTACAACATGCAAACAGCTGAGCCAGGAACTGATGGAAAAATATGAAGAACTGAAGAAGATGGAAGGGCATAACAATGAGTACAGGACAGAGATAAAGAAGGTGAAACTCTGTGTGCCCGAGCTCACAAAGCTGGCTGTGTTTATTGATTAGGGCTGGGGTGGGAGGTGGTTAGTGAGAGAAATCTGTTTGCAAGACTGATGTTCAAGGGAAGAGCACCCTGGAGTGGCTGGGTGGAAGTTGTGGGCAGCAGCAGCTCAGCATAAGAAGGAGGGATAAGAAAGGATGATGGGGCTGTGATAAAGTACATTGTGTATATGGATAAAATTGTTACTAGTCAGTAAATTAAAATGTAATTGAAATATGTTCACTTTGAACTCTAAAACTTTAAACATTGTGATGATTTCCAAACAATCATATTGTTCCTTATAAAAAGAGATTATGTTACCTGTCATTTAATATTTATTCATTGACTAAAGATAAATATATAATTTCTCTGTGCTATGAAGTAGTTAGTGTCCTCACTGGCTGTTGAGTCATTCAGAGCCTTTTTATTAAAGGGTCCTGTTCCCAGGTGTGCTGGCACACTGTAATCCTAGCACTTGGAAGGCAAAGACACAGGAAATCAGGGGCTATACTAGACTGTCTCAAAATACCAAAAATAAGCTAATAAAGGGCTCTCATTATTGGCATTTATTTACTTGCTATTTAAGGCTTGCTCTTAATATGTAGCCCAGGTTGGCCTCAAACTCATGATCCTCTGGCCTTTGAATTCTAAATATTGAGATTAGAGGTGTCTGTCAGCATACTTAGCTTAATTTGTGTTTTTCATAACTTCTTGAGATTATTGCTAGTTTCTGTGTGTGTTTGTTTGCACATGCGAGTGGGCACGTGTGCATTTGTACATGTGTTCATATCTGGGTATAGAGCCCAGAAATAGACATTAGGTGTCCTTTTATTGCCATTTCTCCCTGCACCCTTACCCTCCACTTTTTTTTAACAGTGCTTTTTAAATTATTATTATTTCTTACAATTTATTTAATTTGTATCTCGGCTGTGGCCCCCTCCCTCATCAACTCCCAATCCCACCCTCCCTCTGTCTTCTCTCCCTATGCCCCTCCCCTAGTCCACTGATAGGGTAGGTCCTCCTCCCCTTCTGTTTGACCCTAGACTATCAGGTCTTATCAGGACTGGTTGCCTTGTTTCCTCTGTGGCCTGGCAAGGCTGCACATCTTCCCTGCTTTACTTTGAAACAGGATTTTTCAGGGGCTGTGGCTGAACTCAGTACTCATTGATTGATGAGCCTAGCTGGCCAGTGAGCTCCAGGATTGACCTGTATCCACTCTCCCTCTTCCCCATGCTAGGATTATAGATGTTTGTAAACTTACAAGGCAAATTTTATGTGGGTGATAGGAATCTAGTAAGGTCCTCATGCTCCTGCTACAGGTATGTTATAGACTGACCTATCTTCCTCAAAGGCTCTTGCCCCTTTCTTCATCTTATCTTTCTGTTATTTCTCTCCTGTGAGACAGAAAACCAGATAAACATTTTATGTGGCTGTGAAAACAATGAAAATCTTAGGGTCTCCCTCTACATATACCGGCCACAGGCTTTGACAGTGACTCTCAGTGTTTGAGTAACTTATGCTTATAAGCATATAACTTATGCTTATAAGACCTAATACATGATTTTGAGTTTAACCACCACATGTACAGAATAGCTATACAGGTTGGTAAATTGCTGATTTTCTGCATACTTAATCTAGGAAAAATTTCATGTCTTGAGGTAAGATAAACATTACCTTATTAATGTTTTGTATATTTTTGTTAAATTATGAACATTTTAAACATTTATTTGTCAGTTTTATATATATGTACTATGTACTGCTATCATATTCACCCGCATTACCCTCTTCTATCCTCCATTCCTGCTGATCTCCCCTTTCCCAGCTAGTCATCCTCCTACTTTCATGTTGCTTTTCTTTTAGGCCTACTGAGTTTAATTAGGGTTGCTTACATGAACATTGGTAGGGTTATGTACTAGAGCAATTTACCATTTACTACACCACAGGCTGCTACACCCTGTCCTAGCAGCCATTAACCATGTTTCCTTCTCTCTAAACACTTTTTCTAGGGCCCTGTGCATGCTAGGCATGTGCTATACCATTGAGCTATGTGCCCACACCTTGTTTGTTGAGATGGGGTCTTCCTGTGCAGTTCAGTCTGGCCTAGAAATTACCGGCAAGAGCAGGCTGGTCTCAATCTTGGGGTCTTCCTGCCTCTAGCTCTATCTCCTGAGTGCTAGAATTACTGCTGTGTACTATCACATGCCTGAATTCTAAATATTTCTCTTAACTGTTGGTGTTTTCTTTTTCTCTGTAGTTGAAAGAACAGATTTTGCAGGCTGATCAGACTTATAGCTCTGCACTAGAAGGAATGAAGATGGAAATCTCCCAGCTAACTCGGGAATTACACCAGCGAGATATTACTATTGCTTCTGCCAAGTGTTCTTCCTCAGACATGGAAAAGCAGCTGAAGGCAGAGATGCAAAAGGCAGAAGAAAAGGCTGTAGAGCATAAGGTAAAGTCCGTTCAGAGCTCTCCACTTGATGTGTGCCTGTTTGTTTTCAAAGAATGAATTTATTCAAGGAATAACTCCCATATTTATTTACTTCGGTGAACTTTTAGTAGATGCCTGCTTTGGGCTGGTTAGCAAGCAGGTTAGAGTTGGTGGGTTGGCCAGATGGGACACAGACAAGAAAAATCTACTCCAGTGGTGTGTGGGCAAGGTTCTGGGAGCACAGCCCAGGAGGTGGAAATCTAGAGTAAAGATCTCTATTGCTGCTAGTGGAGAATGAGTAAGGTGGAGACCATGCAGAGCAGGACAGCTACAAGATGCAGCCTGAGCAGTGGACAGTGGCCATAGACGGAAATGGGTGGATTCTGAAGATACTTGGCTGCACAGTTGGCTAGGCTTTGTGCTAGATTGGACTAGGGTAGCAGAGTAGGCAGTAGAAGAAACAGTTGCTAAGGAATTCAGCTCGGCCAGCCGAGTAATGCTCTGTAATGAGACAGAAAATAGTTGAAGTGTTGGGGAGGATGATGCATTTCTGTGAAAGGTGCTCATGATTGGGAAGCTATAGAGGGGACATTGGTGTGGCACATTTGATTTCAGATAAAGCCTGAACTTTTATATGGAAACATTGGTTAGTTGGCTCCACAGAAAGCCTGAAATTCAAGGGCTAGCCATTTAGCTGTGAAATCCTTATCTGAAGCTGCCATTTCCCTCTCCCCTCCCCCAGACATAGAGACTATAGTGAAAAAGCGAGAGTATACATAAGAGTGACTTGGATCAAACAGGAGATTTCTTAGTTTGGTGAAAAAGATAGTGGGGTGGAGCTTTAAAGAAATACCAGTGAGCAAGTTGCACGGACAGTCTCTGCTGAGGAAGAAGGCAGGAATCTTTTCATAGAGATCGTCAAGCAGAAAATCTCAGCAGGGTGAGGGCTGGAAATAAATGAGCGTTGTATGAATGTGCAGTTAGTTCCATGTAGTGTTGGAAGTGGAACATAGACCAGCAGTGGAAGCAGGGTGTGGCTAAGGGTCTGCTCGTGACCTGAAATTTTGCTGCTACAGCTCCCATTCTTCATTGAAAGGGACATTTAATAAGACCTTTGACACATTCTTTTAAAAAGTATGTGTGGGGCCTGGGAGATGCTTATTGCATAAAAGTCCTTCTTCTGCAAACATGAGGACCTGAGTTCAGATTCCCAGAACCTACAGAAAAGCCAGACATGGCTGCATGCTCTGATCTGTTACCCTAGCATTGGGGGTTGGGGGGAGGGAGCAGAGACTGGTGGAATCTGAGGACTTGCTGGCTCTGGCCTCTGCATACATACTTTTTTTTTTTTTAAAGTTTTTTTCTATATGGATGGAGAGTATAGGCTAGACTAGTGAAAATTATCTGTGGAAAGATATGTTTGATTTATGTGGGCTCTCCCTACCCCTATTTTCCTTTTTTAGGAGATTCTGAATCAGCTAGAATCTCTCAAGTTAGAAAATCGCCGTCTTTCTGAAACAGTGATGAAGCTGGAACTGGGCCTGCATGAGGTACACACATAGAGACTTAGCTTTTGTACTTTCAAAGCCGTTGAAAGTAGCTTTGCTGATATTGATGTTAGAAAGAGTTAGAATTAAACTAGCATAACAGTCCTTTAGTATATATGGTCTCAAATGAAATACAGGTATCCTATTGCCACAGGGCATTTCTGCTCTAGCAGTAGGATATTTTTCCTGTTATGTATGTGACAAAATGCATGTGTATTTTGTGTTCTTAGCAAGTAGAATATCTGCAAAGGGTTCAGCATAGTGCTGACAGTAAGTATGACGTGGATATTGGGTGATGGTTGTAGAACTGTGCTGTTGTGCTCAGTGTCTTTCCTATAAAGCATGTCATTTTTGAAATAATTTAGTTTTCATTATTATATTTTTATGGGGCATAATATATTATATGGGGCATAATATATTCTCAAATATTCTAAAATATTTAGTAAGTGCTAGATTGAACACAGGATGATTAGTCAGATTCTTGACTCTAAAGACATTACAGTAATTTAGAATATGAGAATTTAGAATTTATAGTAATTTAGAATATAAACTACTGTGAAATCAGAACAGGATTGGCTTACAGACAGTATGGTGTTCTTTAAGCATTTTATTACAAAATTATTATGATTTATAAAATGATACATCCATTCTGACCCATCTTTTTTTGGTGTAGGTCAAATGTCTGAAGAGTGAATTCTCTTTTTCTGAACTTCCAGGGAGCATTCTGCCTCCAAAAAGATGCATAGTCACACAAGTATTTGCTCTCAAGTAGTTGCAGTTTCAGTCATGGAGGCTGAGATCGAAGAAAGTACAAAAGGCTAGAAGAACACTTTATTTCAACTAGAAAAATGGGGGCTATTTTTATAATCTTTCAGATGGGTAAGATTTTCTAAGCATCGTGAAGCCATAAAGGATTTTACAATGTAAAAATGTAAAATTTCTGGATGGCAGAAGACTCCATTAAAAAGACTGATGGTAGAAGCCAGGTATGGCGGCTCAGGCTTATAATCCCAGCTATTTGGGAGGCTGAGGTAGGAGGACCAAGAGTTCAAGGCCAAACTGGGCGAAGACCCTGGCTCAGAATAAAAGTACAAAAGGCTTGGGAATATAGTATAGCTTAGAGGGAGAGTGCTTGCCTAGCATGAGGCCTGGATTGATATCTCTAGCGCTGCAAAAGAAGTAAAAACCAAGTGAATAGACAAGGAGAAGTAATCTATAAGCAGACACAAGGCTAACATAAAGTATCAACAAATAAGAATGTCCTACAAAGATAATAGAAAAGATCCAGTAGGAAAAGAGCAAAGAACTAAGTAGATGTTTCATAGAAATTTAAATTCAAGTGAGCGACGGAAGCTGTTCAACTTCCCTAATAACTAAAACTTCTAAAAATAAAGATTTTCTTGCTAATAGGCTTGATAATGATTTTAAAAGCTAGTATATGGCCTCTGTTGGCAGTATTTAGAGAATGGGCCCTCCCCTGCACATCGATATTGCTTTCGGGACAATTGAGCCATGGACATTAAGCTTGTAAATGCATATGGCCCCAAGTATACCTGGGTAATTTACATTTGTGATATTAATAGTCATGTTCTTCAGTGTCCTCAGCAGTTTGCATCCCCAAGGAACCCATCTTGTAGGAGTAAAAGTTCAGAAATGGGCACAGCAGGTATTGTGAAATAAACTGGCAACTGAAATGGTTGATTTGTGATTACTTAACTATGCTGTCATTTAAGACAGCAGATGGAAATACTCATTCCGTTTTGCTACCACTCCACATCTCTGATACTATAGTGAAAGAATTTTTTTAAAGCACAAACCCATATGGATAAGAAAAAAAGAGAGGCGGCAGTAGCCAAACATGTACAATTATTTATTTTTATTTGTGTGTGTGTGTGTGGTCAGAGCTTGTCTGGATGTGTGTGGGCACATGTGTGTATGTTTGTGTGTGCACGTGTCCACTAGAGCCTGATACTTGCTGTCTTTCTCTGTCATTCTCCACTTCATGTATTGAGGCAGGCTCTCTCACTTGAACCCTGAGCTTGCCAGTTGGGCTGGTCTGGCTAGCCAGCTTGCTCCAGAGGTTCTTTCTCCTCTTTCCAAGTCCTCCGATTATAGGCATTCTATCATGTCCACTCAGCCAGCATTTACATCAGTGTTATAGATTGGAGCTTGAGTCCTCTTGCATGGCAAGTACTTTACTGACTGAACCATCATCTCAATCCCATTTTATAATAGCTAAACATTTTATAAAGGAGGTACAAGATGGATGGAGGCAGGGGTTGGGGCCACTTGGCTAACCAGCTGCCTGGCTCAGTGATGGGATGGATGGACAATAAATGGATGGATTAGTGGGTGAGAGGGTAAATGGATGAGAAGATAGGTAGGTGAGTGAGAGTGTAGGCAAGAGATGACTTTGCATGCCCTGATAAAGCTGACACTGAATGAGGAGTAATTCATGAATTAATCTGATTTACACTACAGAGTCCTTTAAAGATGTGCCATTTAGCCGAATTAGACTTAGAGACCCTTATGTGGTGCAGTGGGTCCCTGTTGACACTTAAGTACTGAGAGCTTCCAAGAATGTTGAAGACAGACCCTGCCTAGAGTTCTCCTGAACCCTGATGGGAACACTAACCCTTCTTTACTCGCTAAGTTCATGCCTGCTACACAGTTGTCATGCTGCCTTTCCCATTCATGTACCTCGAGCAATTGTTAATAAAGTACTAACTCTTGGAGTTTTTAGAAAGATGCATGGAAAGACAAGTATTATCTTTTTTTAGGTATGTGCAGTAATTTTCAATCTTCCTAATGCTTCAGCCATTCAATACAGTTCCTCATGTTATGGTGACCCCAAATATAAAATTGCTTTTGTTGCTACCTCGTAACTATAATTTTGCCATTGTTATGAATCATAAATGTAAGTAGAGATAGAGGTTTGGTGACAGAGGTTTGCCAAAGGGGTCATGACCCATAGGTTAAAAACGACTGGTTTAATGATTTCAGACATCAAACTGGTAAAAGTCCAGTTTTAGCTTTCTCTAGTTTCAGAGTTTCATACAGCATGAATATATGTACAGATTATCAAAACATAATATGCTTTTCTCATGTTACCACCTATGAAGGATTAATTTTCCAAACTAGTCTAATTATACTGACGGCAGCAGCTATGATTAATATTGGCCACTTTAAAGATGGAGTAGTTCACAGTGTACACTGTGCTACAAATACAAGATGGGTAGTTGACAGTGTAGCCGTGTGTCCTGAAAATATGATTCTCCGAGATACTGTGAGATGTGGGCGGCTCCTGAAAGATCTGTGATCCCCAGTTTACAGATCTGTTTACACCTTTGTTACTTGACAGTAAGTTATGTTCTTCAGAACTCTATTGACCAGCTTACATTCACAACCTTTTTTATTTTTTTAACAGAGAATGAAATAAAGTCAAACTGTGAAGATCACTATAACTTTTTACAATTTCTTTTTATTTTATGTGCATTTGTGTTTTGTCTGTATGTATGTCTGTGTGAGGGTGTCAGATCCTGGAGTTATGAATAGTTGTGAGCTGCCATGTGGATGCTGGGAATTGAACCCAGGTCCTCCAGAAGAGCAACCAGTGCTCTTAACTGCTGAGCCATCTCTCCTACCATAATTTTGTAGAATGCTAATTAAAACATATCAGTAGGGAAAAAAAAGTAGACCTGTTTTTCAGGAAATAAGATGTATGATCACAGTCCATGGTAGGAATTCCTGCCATAAATGTGAGTCCTGTTTTTATGTTGCTAACTTTTTATAAAAGTGGGTGCAAAGAGCACCTAAGATGAGAGATTATTTATTTATGTAAAAGCTGCCCCTTTGAGCCAGAGTTGTTTTTAGAACCTTGTGTTTAAATTATTTTCTTTGAATTAGTTCTCTTTATTTTCTTCTACAGGTACTCTGTGTGGGGAGGGAGTAGGGTGGGGAAAGGCCCCTCATTCTTCTTTAAGAAGAGACATGGCTATTGTATTCTTGGTCTCTGTTTTTTTTTTTTTTTTTCTTTTGGTATCTGGTTCTTAAAGCATTCCTGTGTTCTGATTCTATCCCTTGGATGTCCAAATAGAGGAGGAAGCCCTCCTGTCTCTGACTTTCTCCCTTTCTCCACTCTAGGCAGACTGATGCTTTTTCTGTGTTCATCTTAAGAGGGCTTAAGACAAATCTTTACTTTCTCTAAGTAAAGCCATAGAGTACTTTAAACTAAAACAGAAAATATTTCAGTCACACCATTGTAGATTGATCATAATCACCCCTAAACACACAAGTGATTCTAGTATTCTTTTTTTATTAGGCAAAAGAGATTTCACTAGCAGACCTGCAGGAGAATTATATTGGGACATTAAATAAATTAGTGTCTGAAAATCAACAACTACAGAAAGATTTGACGAGTACCAAATCTCAGCTGGAGCATGCTACTCACGTGTGCAACAAAAAAGATGGCAGGATCTTTAAACTAGCACACATCAGAGCAGCCGAGTCCAAGAGCGCCGAGTTTACGTAAAGTTTCTTAAAAGTCTCTTTGAAGTGTGTGTGCTACAGTGTGATTTCCTGCTGTGAGAAGACTTTCTGGCTTAGAGAAGTGCAGTCATCACAGGCTCTGCTTTAATTCTGACTACAGTGTGCACACGCGGCTCAGGTGGTTCAACTCTTACTTCTTTACGGCTTTTGTTCTGTGCACCCTGGATGTAGGTGTAAACACCATCTTGTTCCCCAGAGGCTTTTCATGCTGCCTCCTTCCACCTCTGTCCCACCTGTTCCAAAAGAAGTAAAATGTGGCTTTTTATGAAAAGAGTCCATTGTATTTTTGGTCAATTAATTTTAGGTTGTTACCATAAGAAAGGTTCATTCAATGAGAAGTCAGGTGGCTTCAGGTTTTTCTCTGTAGCGTGTGTGTTTCCTTACCAGCCTTTGTTGGCACCCCCACTCCTACCCCAACTCTCACCCACAATGACATTATGTGCTTTCTCTGGGCACGGGCCTGCCCTGGCCCTGATGATTCTGAATCACAGTGGCAGTTTGGCCTCTGCTGTGGTGGAAGCATGAGAGCAGAGCCTGAATGAGTGAGGAACATTTGTCTCCAAGTGGACTGCTCATTTCTAAGCAATAGAGTCTTTCTTCTTAGCCTCTTAATGCTCAGATGAACATGCTTCTTTCAGCATATTTATTGGACAGAGAAGTTGCTACAATTTTTCATTTATTTTGTTTTCTAATCTGCTATCCAGGCCAACCCATGGCCAGCACAGACATGATGGAATAAAGACTGAGCAGTACAAAACAGGCCACCACTCGCCTCGAGGACAAATGTTGGATAGCATAGAGTTCATGGCCAAGGGCCCCATCCCCCTGAGCTCTCAGACCAGCTCTGACAGCTCCACCGTCTCTCTGCCTTCCAACTTTGTATGTCACGCTCACTCTTTGCCTTCAATGCCAGATACACACGATGCCAACTTTTCTGACAGTCTGTCTGACTGTACGAATGACCACGAAGAGTGTGCATCTTCGGTATGAAAACTTTCTGATCTTAATATTTATTTTTAATTTTAAGGTAAAGAGGGTGATATTTTTTTTCTTACTGGATCCCGATCAGTACCTTGTATTATTTTCACCATGCAGTGTTACTTGTGAAGGCACATTCAACCAAGATGACTTTCAAAGTCAAGTTCTGAAATCTTTACAGTATGAATGTAGGTATTCACTGACTTTAGCCTTCTCCTTCCTGCCTGCCTTTCTCAGAGAGGGGTGATCATACTGCAGTGACTGAGTCAGGGGCTGTCTCTGGATGTTGGGGGTGTCTCAGAGCATGGATAGTGAGGAAGGAAAAGTGGGGCTGATGGGAATGGTCCTGTGGCAGGGGGCTGAGGGTGGTACATCTGAGGTGTACAGAGTGTGATTTGGGTACCTGTGATGGCCCTGTTTGTAGGGGCTATCTTCCCTGTGCTGGCCCCTCATCCCCACCACCAGGCTCCTGTTCTTTCCTCTCTGTAGGGAAGCACTTGTGTTGGCCTGTTGTCAGTTGTGATCACATCCTTGTGAAAGTTAAGTTTGTTTTGTTTTGCTTTTTTCTTTTCTCTTTCCTTTGAGACAGCAGCTCACTATGTAACCTCTGGCTGTTGGAGAGTCACTGTGTAGACCAGGCTGGCCTCAACTCACAGAGATCTGCCTATCTCTTCCTCTCGAGTGCTTGGCTTAAAGGCATGCATCACTAGGCTCAGCTGACTATTTTTTGTTTTTAAAAAACGTGTCAGCAATTCCATGGAAAGATTTTCCTTTAGTTTTCAAAATAAGTGTCCATTATTACTTATATGTGGCTTAGAAAAAAATCAACACTCTAAAAAGAAACTTTCTAAGTTTGACAGCTGACCTGTGATGAAGCGATTTTTACAGATAATCACTTTTGAAAATTGGTATGAGTATTGTGTTTTTCTTCAGAAGTACTCGGGTATTTGGTGGTAGCATTCTCCTGGGCCAATACAGCTGATTCTGACTGTTCAACAATTGCCTGGCTTTGCTCACTGGACTTGACTGTTGGCTTGTTGTGCCCGTGTGTGGACATACACAAAACAGGAGAGCTGACTTCCACGTTCCTAATGGAGATAGCAAAGGTGGCCTTGTTTTGCATTCCTGTCTCAGTGTTCACATGACTATGGCAGGTAGCCCCCTATAGTGCAAGAACCTCAATTCCAGCACCGGTTAGTGTGGTAGCCTTGGGAAAGTCATTTCTCCCTTCAGAAACTTGTTTCTGTTTTGTCAAGTGGAGACAAGAGAATCTCCCGTGCGCTATGTATGTCTGTACTGTGTGTGCTTATTTCCCCTGGAGGCAGGGATTTGTGCCAAGTCAGCATTTAAGGCGACTTCCAAAATACAACTATAAATGAGGGTGAACTACTTTCAGAGATCCAGGGTCTATGACATCGCCTGTACTGATTTTTAACCGGCAGTTAATTTGTTTTCTGTAGATTTTCAGGGCTTTAAAGTGAGAGAAATTCAGGGTTTTGAAATAGCAGGCTTTGGCTATACTCTCCTCTCACGAGCAGACAGGCATTCAGGTCTGAGCTGTGGTACTCTCAGACTAGTGATGACATTTTCTATACCTCTTTCACACTTTACCTAGACACTGCTTGGGTCAGCAAGAGAGGTCTGTGGTGCAATGTTTTCAGAACTTACCTTTTTTCTTTCTTGGCATTAAGATCAAAACATCTCTTCAGAGGAAAAATTCACCCTTTAACATTGCCAGGCAGAAAATATCTCAAATATTATCAAGGCATTCATCCTGGCTTCCTAACACGTGTCACAATTTGTCCCTCTGCCAGTGCTTGCTGCCCGTCTCTCCTCTGGGATCAATAGCTACCAAGTTTCTAGAAGAGGAGGAGCTGCGGTCTCACCATATTCTAGAGCGCCTGGACGCCCACCTTGAAGAGCTGAAACGAGAGAGTGAGAAGACAGTGAGGCAGTTCACAGCCCTCGTGTAGCCCTGTACAGCCACAGACAAGACTCGGTTATAAAGTTATAATGAAGATGATACCTGCGAGAGCCTCGGCACAGAGTCTGCGAAGCAGGCACTTGGGCATTTTCACTGGTTTGTTTGAAGGACTTCTTCCAACAGTAACTTGTGAGAATAAACCACTTTGCAGACTTTTTCAAAGAATATTTATTACTACAAAGAAACATTTTTTTCTGACTTAAATGTAAATAGCTGTGTACTAATTAAAATAAAGATTTTACTCTTCGTCTGAAAATAAAGTAACTACAGAGCTTCCTTAAAGGAAGTATGTAATGGAAGCGTAGGGCTGTGACCACTCAGCCAGCTTATTAGACTTTCCCACCATGTTAAGTGCGAAGTCTGGCTGGAAGTGTGTCCAGGGGCCACGGTAAGGACAAGGAGGCAAGGAGGCTGTTGCCCAACTCTGAAGTAGAAGACAGGATGGCCGAGGGTCAGAGCTGGGTTTTGTGTGTGGAACTCATAGGACATCCAGTGTGAGTGCTTAGCATGTGCTTGCTGAAGAGAGGGAGATAGGAGATGTATGATTTGAGGCCACACTGCTGACAACCAGAGAGGGTATGGAGAGAGGGGAGCAGGATTCTGGGCAGCTGAGGGTCGCTGGAGCCAGACCAGTACAGGAAGTGGAGAGTGCATTCAGGGTAAGAAGGCATAGTCCAAGGACCCTGCTCCTTCCATTTCCCCTGCTTGAGGGTCTTTCCTGTCAGCACACAACATCCTGGTACTTCTTCCTTTAAAAAGAAGCAGAAAAACTGCCCATCTCCTCCGTATATTTGCTCCTCTTCAGCAAACATTTCTACAAATAGGAGTTTGCAGTGATGATTTCTGGTTTGTCTCCTCTCTTCTGAGCCCTCTTCACCGTGAAGCTGCTGTCCTACCTGAAGGTCACCAACCAACTCGCTAAACACCATTCTACACAGCTGCCTCTTCTCGTCCTCCCTTAGCTCCTATGACCTGGTGCTGCTGCCTCCCTCTGTTCCCTGGCCTCTCCGCCTCATTCACAATCACTTCCCCTTCTGACCTAGTGTCAGGGGGTTCTATAGATGCTTTCCTCACTTAGTGTACTCTTTCTTTTCTAGAACTTTCCATTCTGTTCCCAAGCTCTTAGGACCATGTATAACCCAGTGCACTCTACAGTTAGCCAGTCAGCTGCCTCTGTTTTGTGAGATGTCTTTGTATATAGTTTTGGTAGTCTGAGAAGGGTCTGACACTTAACGTGTTCAGCAGGAACTCCTGACTCCCTCTGGCTAAGCTTCCACCTCAGGACAGAGCTTTCGTTTGCTAGTTCCT